AATCAAGGCTGCAAAGTGCAAATCGCGGCGCAGGCGTTTTTCCCCGCCTCTCAAGGATGGAAAGCAAGGTGCGATCCTGGGTCGGGGCCGGGAAATCTTCGCGGAGCTGGGGGGCCTTTGGGCCGTTCGTTGCTGTTTTCGGAGCGGAACGGATTCAAAGCCCAAGGCACAGCGTACAGCTGCCAGCCATGGCCAGGGAAAGGACCATCAGGTTCTTCCTGCGCATCACACTGGTTTTGTTTGGTTTTTCCCTGCGCGAATGACAGCCTTGCACTTCTTTTTGGACCAAGCTCCTGTCAGTGCGGTCCGCTAAGGAGCCCCAGAGAATGCCTCAGCGCATCTTCGGAAGGGGGCATTCTCCTCCCATGGCTCGCTACCCTTAAGTTACTGACTCAGTTGGAACGACCTTTCCGTTGCTGACTGCCGCCATGCTCAGACTCCCGTCCAAACCGACAGCGGGTCCTCAAGTAGGGGCTGGCACAATTGAACCCGCGACATCGCTGGGTTTCAAATGGGAATCTGCAACCATTCGATGTCACGGCTCCTAGAGTTTGATGCGGGCGTGTCCACAACAAAACCGCCCATTTGTTGGGGCCCGCTACCCACATCGCATTCCCACGTCGCCATCGCCAAACAGCTCCTTGGTTCGAAGTCTGGGCCCCCGGGCCTGATAGGCTGGCAGCGAGGCCTCTGGCCATCAGGATCAGCCCCAGCTGGTCCGGCGCCAGACCCAGCTGTCGCTCCAACCTGGTTGCGCAGGGTGTGGCTTTGGGCGGACCCACCGTTGTTTGTTGCCCTCTTATATAAAAGCACCCCCAATTTCATGAACACCCTCATTAACCATCTCTGCAAGAACAATCCTTCTGCAGTTGGTTGTTTTGTAGTTTCCCCCTTTTCACAGTTTCACGGGAAGAAGCCGAAACGCGTTCGAATGGGGCGTCGGAAGTCGCGAGATGGTCTTCCGCTTACTGTAGTTGACCTTGAAACCAGCCGCAAACGTAAAAGGGAGCGCCCGCAAAACACGCAGACTCATATTGCTCCGAAGAACTGCATGAAGGAGACCGTCAGCAGGCCGACATCGATCCTCAGCAACCCTTGGAGCAACCGCGGTGCTCGCAGACGCATTTGCACGGAACCCCTTACTATGCGCACTGGCTATGGGAGAAACCCTGTTGATCGCGACACACCCCTGGCTCAGCGGCCAGCCTGCGAGCACGCTGAAGTGCTATGCTTTTCGGCTGCATAATAATAAGACTAGCTGCATAATAAACCCTTTAGAGTACTTGCGGGAAAAGCCGAGCGCGCGCTACTTTCGCACGGAGAAGCTGCTATTCGCCCAGACGAAAGCGTGACTCGAGCCCGAGGCCGCCGGATTCAATCCCCGAGGGCCGGATTCCCGATCGAGTTGGCGCAGGCCTTCCGCCTTCAGAGGTTCTGTTGTCAAGCTTTCCTTCCTTTCACGCGCGGGTGCGAACTCATGCTACTTCTCTAGCCAAACGCAGAACATCTCTCGTGCAACTTGCTTAAGCAATCACTTAGGTAAGTTGCTGGTGCAAGTGCCTTGCAAACCTTTCGTGTATCTTTGTGTAACGTGCTGCTTAAGGAATTTCGTCTGTAACTTGCTCGCGCTTTCATATCTCCGTGCAACTTGCTCCAGCAGTCTCATGTAACTTTCTAGTTCCGCCCGACTTGCGCAATCGGCACCACATGGCTCTGGCTCAAACATGGCATTTGGTAAATAAAACCAAAGGCGTCCTGCGTAACCCTAGCTCTTTAATTTTGAGCCACACCCACAGTGAAGAGCCCTTCACAATTTCGGGAGAGTAAGAAGTTCACAGGGCCCCACTTTCTGACCCCAAGGTAGACTTAAACCCAGGCGGTTCATGTCCAAACAGAAAACAAGAAGAACCGAGTCTTGGGTTTCAGTCTCCCTTGAAATCAAAAAGTGGAGCCCTCCTGCCAAAGCTCTCGTCGATGAAGCTGGCCAAGGTGGCCACTAGCACCACCCGCGGTCCATCCTTGGCCGTTCCGGAGCCGTGCGGGTTAGGTCAGGTGCCCGAGCGACAATCGCCTTGCTTCCTCTCAAGGGGTTCCCAGAAGGGCTGAAAACGCATAAAATCGATTCGCTTCCCGCGTAGATACCCATCAAATTGGGTGCATCATGGTGAACAATGCTCATTTGGCCAGTGCGCGCGAGTGTAGTGTCCGGCAACTCGGGCAAAAAGACCCACCCCAAGTTGCTGTCAAGCTTCCATGCTGTGCAGGCCTGATTGAAGAAGCCGTCGCCAGCTGGAGAAATTGCGGCAAGTTGGCTTGGACCTGTCCACCTTTCTTGCCTGCTTAGAACAATGCATAGCCATGTTGCTCATGAAACGGGAGCGCGGCATTTCTCGTGCCCGCACACCGAGCATGGTCTGCTGCTAAGCCCAGGAGGGTTAGCCGGCAGCAGAAGCACTGTCAGCTACTGGCATTGGTGGCAAATACGATCATGCCTGTAGCCCTGCAATTTGCATGCTTTTCCAAACGTCTAGGGAGTGACCCTATAAAAGCATTGGCTGCTACATCCCAGAAATCTTGGAGCAATCGCCCTAGTAGAATTCCTCTCAATGCCTCTTATCGACTTCGTCCCTCCTTCATGCATGTCGCAGTCTGCAAGTACAGCCCGTACAGCCAATTAGGACTCTCTTAAAAATTGAAGGAACATCCAGCGTGCACGAATTGAGCCATTCGACTCGGAAACGTCGGCCGAAGCCCTCACTCTGCACAGGCCGGATTGTAAAAAGTTGAGGGCGCCAAGTCGCGTGCAATAAGTCGTGGCACGTGTGTCGCTTCGAATTCTCTGGATTTTGAACGTTCACATGTTCCGAGAAGGGGTGCTTCCCCTTGCAAATGGGATCGTAAATGACGTCTCAGTAGGTTTTTCTAACAGGATACTCCGCAAAGCAAACCTCACATTCAGTATAAAGCTGCCGATGGGGCAAGTGACTGGCAAAAGCATAAAGGCGAAGGTTGGTCCTTCGATGCCTCGAAGATGATGACTGCAGGCATTCCACTGAATGGGGGGAGTTCAAAGGGTTGCTGCTTGCCCAGACTCGAAGCAGCCATGTTACTCATGAAGCGACAGCCACGTGGAAATTGCTCGCACCAGCTCTCTGAGCATGAGTGTCGGCATCATCTGCTACTGCTTTTAAAATTTGGTGTGCTCGCCTAGGAGGGATAGCCAGGAGCGGAAGCACTGTCATACGATCATGTTCTGCATGCCTGTAGCCCTGCAATTTACATGCTTTTCCAAACGTCTAGATAGCGACCCAGATATATAAGCGGTGCCTCCCAGAAAAGGCTCTTAGAGCATCCGCCCTACAATTCCTCTCTAGACATCCCGGCAAACCTCATGCCGCTTATCGGCTTCGTCCCTCCTTCATAGTCAGCAAAACCAAGTGGGACTCTCTCAAATTGGGGAACCCCGGTTCAGCGTGCACGACGTGAGCCATATACAACTAATGGCTCGCCGAAAGGACTGCCACGGCCGTTGGCCGAAGCCCTCCCTCTGCACAGCCCGGATTGCAAAAAGGTTGAGGGTGCCAAATCGTGGCACGTGTGTTGCTTCGAATTCTCTGGATTTTGAACGTTCACATGTTCCGAGAAGGGGTGCTTCCCCTTGCAAATGGGATCGTAAATGATGTCTCAGTGGGTTTTCTAACCGGATACTCCGCAAAGCAAACCTCACATTCAGTATAAAGCTGCCGATGGGGCAAGTGACTTGCAAACGCATAAAGGCGAAGGTTGGTCCTTCGATGCCTCGAAGATGATGACTGCAGGCATTCCACTGAATGGGGGGAGTTCAAAGGGTTGCTGCTTGCCACGCGTCACGTGTCCGACCTCACTCGAAAACGCGAAGTGGCTGTTACTCATGAAACGACAGCCACGTGCTCTCTGAGCATGAGTGTCGGCATCATCTGCTACTGCTTTTGATGCCATTTGGAGTGTTGGCCACGCCTAGGAGGGACAGCCAGGAGCGGAAGCACTGTCATACGATCATGTTCTGCATGCCTGCAGCCCTGCAATTTACATGCTTTTGCAAACGTCTAGGGAGCGACCCAAATGTATAAGCGGTGCCTCCCAGAAAAGGCTCTTAGAGCATCCGCCCTAGAATTCCTCTCTACACATCCCGGCAAACCTCATGCCGCTTATCGGCTTCGTCCCTCCTTCATAGTCAGTGACAACCAAGTGGGACTCTCTCAAAATGGGGAGCCCCAGTTCGGCGTGCACGACGTGAGCCATATACAACTAGTGGCTCACCGAAATGACTGCCACCGCCGTTGGCCGAAGCCCTACTCTGCTCAGCCCGGATTGTAAAAAGGTTGAGGGTGCCAAGTCGCGTGCAATAAGTCGTGGCACGTGTGTTGCTTCGAATTCTCTGGTTTTTGAACGTTCGCATGTTCCGAGAAGGGGTGCTTCCCCTTGCAAATGGGATCATAAGTGATGTCTCACTCCGCAAAGCAAACCTCCATCTGAGGCAGCGGCAACAAAACAACGACGACAGGAAGCGACCATGAAACACCAACCACTGTCACCATTGCCACCTGCTACCTGCGCCAGCATGCGAAATCGGTGAGCGCAAAGCTGTGAAATCTAAGGCACATGTGCACCCGGAAAAAAAAAAAAAAAAAAACTTTGTGGGTTGTGTTGGCTCGAGAAACCATTCGCAGATATGCGCGCCATGTTTTAAAGACGAGTAAACAATGTACCTAGCAGCTCTGGAACTTGAGGAAAGTACAGCCTCTTGGCATGTTGACATTCCCCTTGCCAGCGCTTGGCAATCCACTTGATTGAAGCGATGAGTAGAATCAGTTCTGCGCGTCGCCTGTGGCTCTGGAACCTGCGTGCTTTCCCTACAGAGAAACCCAGATGGCCGCTACAGCCCAGGAAGGCTCTTGGAGCCTTCCCCTGAATTTCCTCCCGAGATCGAAGTAACTAAGTGATCCATGGCCTGTCAAAGCTCAGGCGATGCCATCAAAGTCGAGCACCTGGCAAGGCCCAGAATTCGCACAGGGGCCATCTTTTCGACTGCCCTCTAGACTCTGGATGCCGGCTCCCCGGTATATACTCACGGCTCTTTCGTCTATGTTCAATAAATACTTGCCCTCCTGCAGATTTACATGGAGGGGGAGAAACTGAACCATTTTCACGGGCGGGTTCATGTGGCAATGTGTCCAAATAGTGGGACCCGTTCAAAGTGCCGGTGTTCCTTTCGGCTTCACTTGAGACCTAAGGGTATCCACAAACAGACGGAGTCGCACAACGCACACACACACACACACCCATCTTGGTTTGCAGAGTCGGATTCAGCAAAATTCAAACAACAAACTTCCAGAAACGGCATCAACTTCAGAACCTCGCCTTGGCCTTGCGGCGTGAAGTCCAGACAGCCAAGTTGCGCAAGCGAGCCGCGACCCCTTTGGCCGCGGCCAAGGCCTGCAACGAACGCGCTCGCTGTTGCCTCGAACGGCTAGAGCTTTGGCTTGCTGGGAAACTTGAAAATGAATACATCTCCAAATTTTATTGTGATGCTACTCTTCAGAAGCGGCCTTTTCTCTTGTACAAAAAACTGTCGATCATGCCTTTATCGGGAGGGGTTCTCTTCACAATCCTTAAGCTGAATTAAGGGAGACCCAAGTAAAGGACCTTTATCATGGTGAGCTCGTTCTGCCCCCAGGGTGAGCTCGCCACAAAAAAGGCAAGTCAATGGGCAAACGATGTTGGCAAACATGACAGAACCCTAGGAGTTGTTTGGAAACTACAGTTGTACGTCCCTCCCTTTTGGTAAGTATGTGATGCTTACAGATCCCAGCTCCCTTGTTTGATAAGCCCTAGAATCCCTAAAGTATCAATCATAGGCCTGTGGGGCTGTCTTGCGAAGTGCACACTGTGCCAAGGCCGTCCTTCGCTCTCAGCGCCTGCCTTTCCACGTCAATATTTGGGTATATACGGTATATGGGTTAAAATGAAACCACCAGGACTACAGGTTTTAGTCATTGTTTCCATTTACGGGGGTTCCATTTTGGGTGCATGTTGTTAACCCACATCCATTTGCGTTCCACCCAGCGGCCGCCTTCGACCTCGAGGATCCGGTGTCTGTCTTCTGCGCTGGGCTGGGCTCCGGCAAGACTTCGCTCATTCTTGAGGCCCACTGGCGGCAGACCGGCAAGTCGTCACTGCAGTCGTCCTCCGGCGCAAGCAAGCAAGCAAGCAAGCGCGCTGCTTTTGCAGCGGCGACTGCTCTCTTGACCCCATGACGCCCCAAGCAGCTCCAAGGCATTCACCAGAAAGCTGGCACCATCCCTAGCCACAGCGAAACCAAGCGTGGGCATTCTCGTTGCAAAGTAAAAAACACAACTGCCGGAACTGCTGGCTCCTCGCGGCGATGAGCCTCCGCTTCAAACAGGCCACACAAGAACTCCAGCGACTCCTTGACAAATGAAAAGGTACGGCGGAGCGGCTTCCAGAAACAACTGCTTTTTGAAATCCGGACGTCCAATAAATACAACCTGGCTTTGCTTTTCATCGTCCGAGCTGCATCCCCCACCCTTGCCAGCCACTCGCTCTCCAAGGCTTCGTCTGCCGTGGGGCGGCAGTAAGGGTTCAAGCTGAGCAGGGAACGCAACAACTGGCAATTGCTCGAAGACCTGCCTCGGCTAGCCACGGATCGTGTTGTGCGCAGCATGGTTGCCTATGGGCTTCACTTGACCAAAAAAACACCGCTGGTGAGAACGCGGAATTCCGGCCCTTCCCGCCAGCCCCACTTTGGCCTGAGAGACCGCCAAAGTTCTCACATCATGGCATCTGTGGATTGTGTCCAGAATCTGCTGGAATTCAACCAAGCTGCCCACCGCCTCGCCGCAAGGCTCAAGGGGCAGCTTGCCCTCATGCGTCGCCGCCTCGGTCTCCGCCGGCGTCGCCCTCACGAAGGCTGGGGTGCGGAACATCATCTCGTACAACACGGCGCCGAAAGCAAACCTCCGTATGGCAACAGGCCGGACAGTTGATGAAACGAGACTAGGTATCGGACAAGCACAGGCCAACGCAACCAAAGGCGCAGGTCAGAGGCCGGGCTGCACTGGCCAGTTGTCAAGCACTCTGGCGCCAGGTAACCCCGCGTGCCACCGGACCTCTTCGTGGACATGCAGCCTTCCGGCAGGCGCTGCGCTAAGCCCAAGTCACCCAGCAGCACGCGACGCCCGCCCTCCGCCACCAGGATGTTCCCCGGCTTCACGTCCCCATGCACGATGCCCAGGCCGTGCAAATGCCGCAGGCCCCGCAGAACGGCGTGGCTCACAAAAGCCGCCTCTGCCTCCGAGAAGGGGAACCTTCTCAGATCTTGGAGGGCACAGTCGCACCGCTCCATCAACAGAAAGAACAACTTGGCTTCGGTTTTGACTAAGAAGGCATACTCCTCCTTCACGCTCAGGGACTTCGGCTTGCATGCCAGGGCGAAGCGTCCCACAACGTCCTGCCAACCCGACCCAAAATTTCAATGGCGCAGGTGACACTTCCTTCAGACCCATCACTCCATCTCAATGTCCCCGCCCCAGACCAAACAAAACAAACTAGAAGAACCGGTGGCCCGAAAGCAAAACTTATCGCGAGCGAGGCGTGCGATGTCAAATGTAGACTTTGCTTTCGTGCGCGATATGGAGTCCACCAAGGGCACTGCAAAAGCAAGATCTATTTTAATATCCTTTGCAAGTTTTCTTGCGCTCGCACAAGTTTGCTCGCCAAGCGTGTTCGCGCGAGTTTGCCCGCGCAAGCGTGCAAATTGCTTTGCGCAAGTGCTCTGCGCAAGTGCTCTTTCAAAAATGCTCTGCACGAGTGCTCGGCGTAAGTTGCTCTGCGAACCTGCTCTGTGCAAGTTGCCCTGCCCAAGTGCTCGTCGCAAGTTGCTCTGCCCAAGCGCTCTGCGCAAGTGTGCTCCATGCAAGTATCTTTGCGCCAGTGACCCATGCAAATTGCTTGGCGCAAGCGCTCTGTGCAAGTTGCTCCGTGCAAGTTGCGCTGGTACTGCGCAAGTTGCTCTGCGCAAGTGTTCTACAAAAGTTGCTCTGCATGAGCATGTTGCTCTCTGAGAGCGCTCTGCGCAAGCGCTCTCTGCGTGAGTTGCTCTGCGCAAGTGACTGCAAGGGCTCTCTGCAATTTGCTCTGTGCAACTTACTCTGCGCAGGTTGCTTTGCACAAGAGCGCGTGAATGTATGTATGTCCTTCTCTGAGAATGCTCGGTGTCTCACCTCACATCCGGGAGCACAATGGAGCACAAGTAGCAACAGGTTTGCACATCGACCACGCCGATCCCCACAAAGGATCGCAGTAGCAAAAGTCCCCAGTTTTTGCACATTGGCCACGCCGATCCCTGCAGAGACGCGGGCGCCTCGAGAGGTGGCAAGAAGCCAAAGTGTTTGCGCATCGACAACCCCGTCAGTTTTTGCACGTCGGCCACGCCAATCCCCGCAAAGAGTAGCAAAAGCCCTCAGCATTGGCACATTGACTGCACCGACCGCAGAGGGACGTGCTGGAACCGCCAAAACAAGTAAAAGCCGTCACTTTTATGCCTTAGAGGGCACCATAATTTGCAGAGAGAACTCGGTCCTACCACACCGCCTCACAAAAGAAGTGTAAACTCTCGCGCAAGTGCGCTCGTGCAAGCTTGTGCTTGTGCAAGCGTGCTCGTGCAAGTGTGCTCGCGCAAAGCATGCTCGTTCAAGTGTGCTCGCGCAAGCGCGCTCGTACAAGCGCGCTCGCGCAAGTGCACTCATGCGAGGGTGCCTGTGCCAGTGCCTTTGGGTAAGAGCGTAAGTGCGCTCGTGCAGGCGTACTCATGCGACTGCGCTCGCACAAGTGCGCTCATTCTCGTGCAAGTGCGTTCGTGCGATCGCGCTCGTGCAGATGCGCTCGTGCAAGTGCGCTCAGGCGAGCGCGCTCGTGCAAGGGCGCGCGTGCGAGCGCGCTCATGCAATTGCCCGCGTGCGAGTGCGCTCGTGCAAGTGTGCTCCTGTCTGAGCATGGGCAAGTTTGCTCATGCTAGTGCGCAGGTGGGAGTTGGTCAGTTTTTCCGGAAACACCATTCGCAATGGCTTCGGGGATAAGGGACTACGTACCAGAAAGCTTGTCAGTTGTTCACATCGCAGTCAAAAATGCCAGCTACGCAACTCTAACACAATTGGGCATGCGCTTCAGCCGCCTGACACGAGGCCAGATCAGCCTGATACATTCCGAGGCAGCTGGTGATGTATGGCGTCCCTGCCGCTGCCCTCAGCATGTCTGCTTCGTGCTGGGAGTGCGCTGCCGGGCTCGCGCTGTAGTGGCGGACCTACAGGGCGCAGGTGGCCTAATGTCTGTAGTCGTCAGTCCAGCCCATCATGACAAGCTCATAGGGTCATGTGGCTTCAGAAAGTCACTTATATAGATGCTGTGGGCTTGGGATTTCAGGGGTCTTGGGCTTTAGGGTCTTGAGGCACAGCCAGGATTCATGAAATATGGGTACGGTGAGTCTGGGGGAAGACTTGCATTTTGTGGAAGGCGAAGTTGGTTGTCATGATGATCATCATGATGATTCAGTATCAGGCTTTTAAGGACTTGTTCCTATCTGTAACTAAGAGGCGTTCTTACCAAGAAGGCATCATGGAGAAAGCAAGGCAGAATGGTGTATCTCAAAAACCTTGCCAAAGAACATCCCAAGCAAAACGCGGGTGTCTGGGTCTCGCGTCGCGTCTGGGTCCTGTCACCTTTGACGCCTGCCTTAAAGAACTTGGCAACGTGTTTGGACTCTTTGTCTCTGCCTGGGTTGGCACTCACCCTCCGAAGCTTCAAGCGACTTTCCAGCGGAAACCCCCAAAAAAAGCAACCAAGCTGCGGCAGCCAACCACGACAGCTGACATGCCCGCCCCACACGCTTGGTCCAGCAGGATCTCGACTGACGAGCTCGGGAACTCGCAAGGCTGCGCTTGCAGTCTCATGGCGCTGGGTGGTCGCAGTCCGGGGCAGGCGCTCCGCTGCAAAACCTTGCGCAAATGCGCGCAACACCTCGCCGGCAGCTCGGATTTGCTTGGTTCCCGCCCACCTAAAAGGAGGTTTTTGTCCCCAGTTCAGCTGCTTTTGGGGGGTTTTCAACCAGGGTCCGCATGCGGAAAGCCTCAAACCCGGAGACGCATGGTGCTCGAAAGTTGCAGCCTTAATTCTCGGCATGCGCGGAGAAATGCTAGGAATTCCGCCCCACTTCCAAAACCAATCCTCAATCCTCACGCCCAGTTCCCACGTGTCCCGCTGTCCCACTACGGGATCCAGATAAAAGCTCTATAAAGATCGGCCATGTTGCGGAGAAAAAAAAAAAACGCTTCACTGTTTGTAGCTGACTGGTCTTGGGGTGGATTTAGGCTCTGCATACGGTTTGCCTATGGTGGGTTAGGGTGGGCTCTGCTTCTCTGCTCAGGTCGGCTTTTTCTTTCCTCGGCTGGTCAAACTAGGCCCTCACACTTGCCGGAGCCGGGGCAGTCCGGGAAGGGCACCGTCCGGGGCACCACTGAGACTTCGGTGGAGAGACGAAGGCCGCCTGAGCCGGCCACCAGGGCTGAAAACACCATAGCTTCATTGATTCAGCCGAAGCACGCAACAAAAGTGTTCGTGCAACTGTAAGCCTGGCTTCCTTTCTGGGACATGCGAGAGCTACCCATGGATCCCGCCGCGGAAGCCAGACGTGCGCCTGGCCATTCGAACTCCAGAAAGAAGGCTCGCCAGCGCCCGGATCGGGGATCCTCAGGGTGCAACACCAATTCCTGAAGACTCCTCTTGGGTGTGGGGGTGTGTGGTGTGTGTGCTTCTTTTTCCCTGTCTTTTTCTTGTGGGGGGGGGGACCTCCAAAGACTACCAGCTTAGGACACGGCCAAAGCCTGCCGGGCTGCCTTCCACAAGGCCGAAAATTGGGACTCAACCCCTAAGAACGCGAAGGGGAGAAGGGATCCTCAAGAAAAGAGGCACAGAAACACATGTGCGGGGAAAGGGGGGGCGGGGGGGGACATGCGTGTCGCGCCAACACTTCTCCCCGCCGGCCCGCCGGCCCGCCGGCTCCTTGGGCCGAACCCACCACTTCCCCGTGGACTCGGGGCCATCGGGCTCCATGGCATCCGGCAGCTCGGAGCTGGTCCAGGTGACGTTGGTGCGGCAGCCCTCCGCACTCGGCACGCCACAGGGGCACACCTGCGCGGGAAGCCCCAAAAGAACCCAAAACCCTCCCCCCCCCCCCCGGCAAAAAAAAAAAAACACAGACCACGGGAAACTCAGGTAAAATGGGACCACCAGGTGAGGTTCAAAACCACCAAGGCAGCCCTGTCCAAGGGGTCCCGGAAACAACCGAACAGCTTGTTGCAATTGAGACAGCTTTGCTCAAAACCTGGCGATCCGGCGGTTCCGGGCCATTTGGCCGTGTCTCGCAAAGGGGTCGATGGCCGCAATCCAAAAAACAAAAAAAAACCAGCGGGCCCTGGGGCCCTGGCACGGACCAACCGCTCCCGAGGGCCCATCTCAAGACCCCAAACGGGGCATACGCCACGGACATTCGGCCCCCCCCCCCGACAGGGCGGTTTCTTTAGACTGCGCGCAAAAAAAAGGCACCCTCAGAAAGGCCCGCCCAAATGCCCCCATTCGACGTTTGTCGCGTCGTTCGCCGTTTTCCATCGGCCAGTCGCAAGCGGCCATGTTTTGTTTCTTCCGGAACATCATTCAGGGAGCGCCACATCAAGTTGGATCTTCCATGGCGCAGGGCGACGTTGAACCCATCCAAGTGGAGTATCCCGTGGACACTCTGTGGGTTCTCTGCACGCCTCAGCCTTGGCGCTGTACTGCCGGAAGTCCATGCGCTTGTTGTCGCAGCTGGTGGCCTAGCAGGCCACGAAATTGGACCATGGCTCGTAGCCTTCGCCCCAGCAAGCCAACCTCCATGAGTCGGAATGGCAAGCCAGAATAGTCACTTATTGCGAAGCCGTGCAAACCATGGAGGCTACTCATCTCTCCCTTGAGGCCAAGATTGGCAGGGCTCCATCTAACCCCTGAAAAACCTAAAAAGCCGCCTTACCCAGGAAACCCACGGCTTTCTGCGGTACTTGCAAGAAGGTGACGCTTCAAACCACTGGAATCCACCGCCTACGCACCGCGTGTGCCTGCCAGAGTCGCACTTGGCTAGGCTCATCGGCCCAAGCGGAGATGGCCCCGGAGGCCTGCCACGGATAGGGTCGCAAAAAGGCGCGCCAGAGGCGAGCCCGACATCCATTTGGGTGTGTCTTGTTTCAGGTTGGATCTCCCTAAAATTGCGGGCGTTGCTTGCGCGTTTCGCTTAAACATTAATAACAATAACGTGCTCTTTTTTAAAGAGGTAGCCTCAAAGAAAGACAGGCTCGTTTCTCAAAGCTTGAGAGCTTGTCGCAGTCAAGGACGTGTGGAGAAGAAAGAACACCACACTGAACCCGATTTGGCTTCGCAGTGCCCGAAGCATCAGCAACCCACTGCAAATTCACATCTCCTCTTTCACAGGGTTGGACGTTGCTCGGAACCCGATTTGTGTCGCAACGCTTGCCATCAACACTAAATGAAGACTGAGGAACATACCTCCGCACATTCAAATTATCTCACCGAGATCCCAGATTCCACTCGCAACCTTGCAAATTGACATGGAGCCCAAACACATGTGACCAGTTGTTCGCACGTCATGGATTGCAATGTCTCAGAAGATGGGAGGCACCCGCAACAGCCGGCAAAACAAAGTACACTCAAGACACAGGGTGCCTTGCGGGCGATGCGGAGGACCCGAACAGAGGAGCCCAGGAGGACTCTGGAAATGGATGCAGACCAGAATCAAGCAGATGACACCCCTTGCCACAACCCTTGTTACCTGCGAAGCCAAGGAGGAAAAACCAAAAAACACCACCGCTATTTCCCACCAAAAAATTTGGCGCCAAGTCGAAACCCATCTCCAAGCGGCTTCCTCCACGCTCCACTCCAAGCGGGGCATGGCTTGGCTCTTGACCCGGGCGAGGAAGCTGCCGATGACCGGCGCCAGCGCTGTCACCTGAAGGTCGAGGCGAGCTTCGAGCCGGAACGCCCGGATCAAGGGAATGATCCGAGAAACATCCACCAACCCTAGGGGAACCTTGCAACTCCATTCTTTCCCACGATCCTTCTTTCCAGAAAACCTCCAGAATCTCATATGGAAAACGCCTGGTTCTTGAAAAGAAGGATGGTTCAAAAGAATGGTTGGAATCAACCCCTAGACCAACGCTTTCAACCACGCTAGCTCTGGCTACATATCAAAACCCTCAAACCTGAAGGGTTTCTGATGGGCTTCTGGTTTCCTCGGTTTGGCTTTTGGCCCCTTTCGATCCCTGAGGCTGGACTCCCTTTACCCATGGCCATTTGTTCGTTTAAACCGGGCGAGGAATTGAGCTAAACCCGGATGTGACCAAGGATCTGTCTACTTGCTGGTCAGGGAATCCTTTGAGGCTTTGGGAAACCGACAGGAAACCATAAGGGTGGTGCGCAGTGCATTCCCTCATTCCCGGCTGAGAACCAGCGAGACTAGCATTAGCCCTTCTAGACCTGCATGGCAGATGGCTTCCATCCCTGGATGCACAACTGCTATAAAGCCCCAGTTTGCCCGCCAGGTTTGGCTCACGCCCGGCAGCGACTGGAGAAATCTCGAAAAAGAACCAACTGCTAGCAAGGCTTGCGGGAATGAGGTTGGATTTCCCATCGTGGCAGGATGCCCTAAGCGGAACAAGGTGGCCTTGTAATTTACTGTATTTTTCAGAGGTTTTATGGCTAGATGGGATATGATGGGATAGGTTCAGTTGCAAATGCTAGGGACGTGTGCAGCATGGGGATGACGGAAGTGTCCGTGAGGGGACCCGGTGAGAGTTGTCGACTTGCGTGACGCATGGAAATCGAGGCTTGCCCCCAGCCCCCCCCCCCCAAACCACCCAAGCTAAACCATTCGGGCTACAAAACACTAGGAAGGTGCCTTCATCACGAAAAAACGGTGAGCTCGTTGCAATGTTGCCCACATGCAAAGGACTTCTTTCACCACCTCTCCAGGAGTATCAAACGGCAAGCCGCCTGCAGGCCGCCTATGATGTGTCGGCTATTCGGCACCGTAAATGACCTCAGCCACCAGCACGTGTCCATAACTACGACGGGGTCCCATCCCCTCAAAACTTCAAAACATCACTCCACCATGTCCACCCCAAAGGAAACTCATGTGATTGGCCAAAGTGGCGCTGCTTGAACTTCACCCAACAAAATCATGATTCGACTTAGTCCTAGTTATAGAATGTACTTTCTATTCCTTGCTTCCCTGTGAGTCACTGGCAAAATGTAAAAAGTGCCTCCTAAGTCTACCCCGGACATGGTTTCAAGTCTGCCCCGTGCCCCGCCGAAGCCCTCCGAGGCCTGCGAGGCCGAGGGGCCATTTGGGCTCCGGCACCTGCGGCCACCAGAGCTTCAGGTGGTCCGGCATGAAGAAGTCGTCGGAGGAGGCCGAGATGACCAGCTTCGGCAAGGCCTTGGTGCGGGAGAGGTGGTAGTAGGCGTCCGTGACCCCCAGGAAATACTTCCAGTGCGGGCCCAGGGTGAAGTTCTGGAACCTGCGGAAGGGTGGTGTTGGTACGCGATGGATAGATTAGATGGATGGATGGATGGATGGATGGATGGATGGATGGATGGACGGACGGACGGACGGACGGACGGACGGATTCATGGATAGATAGATAGGAGAGATAGATAGATAGAGAGATAGATAGATAGATAGATAGATAGCTAAATCCGATCCGACTTGCTTGCACGGCTCAGCTCAAAACGTGTTTTTGCCGTGCAAAGAACTACTTGGCTGGGTCAAGAAATCTGCGTCAAGCTGCTACAAGCAACATCACCTTGCAGCCAAAGCACAGGCCCTTGCTGACGTACCTCATTGCTTGAGCGGGGCCCAGAAAACTTCTTACATCAGCCTCTCTACTGAGGAAAACAAATCATCAAGCTGCTTGACAGCATCGGCCGTGTCAAACAAACATCACCTGACCATGGAGCAAGGTCTGTAGAATTTGACCATAGATTTGTTCACTTTGACCACCAAACCGAACCAACGGGGCCTTTCAAGTCGTATCCTAAGTCATTTTGAAAACCCAGTATCCCGAAAACAAAGCCCAAAACCACCGCGGAAGAAAAAACAGGGAGGCATGATGCCCAAGGCTGCCTGGATTTCCCTTCACAAGTTCCAGGCCGTTCCAATGACACTGCAGCGTTGGCTCCAGAAACGGGGCAAACTCAAACTCAGCTCAAGTGACAGAAACATAGTTTTAAGAGTAGAGACAAATGCTTTATATCAATCTAAACCCGGGGAACCCATCTCTGTCTAACCGATCAAAAGCACAACCAACTGGGTATCACAATTCGACACAGAAGCAAAAATAAACAAATAAAAAAACAACAACTTTTAGTCCTTGGGCATCCATTTTTCCACGGAGTTCCATATGCACCCATTGCCCCACGGGAACCCAAGCGAACTGAACTCCCCCACTTCGGATTTTGTTTCGTCTCCTCCGGGGCCCGGGCTCGAAGGCGGCCCAGGGGAAGCCCCCGAGCTCCTCCACGGTGAGGCGCAGCTGGGGCTCCAGGTTCAAGGCCTCTCAGCTGGTTAGGCGCGGGCGGCTCGGCTCGGGAGAAGTTCGGGGGAAGAACTCCGGGGGGTGGCGCCACGATGTTTCATGGCGGTGTTTCGTTGGTTCCAGTGGTTGGTCCCCTTTTTGGGGGTACGAACATATATGAATGAAAGGGGTAAGGAAGGGGAATGACGTATGGGTGTGTTTGGTGCGTACCAGTGCTTTGCTCGTTTTAAAGGGAAACCAAAAGGAGCACCATTTTTGGGGGTTCAACCTGTAAAAAGACACGCACAGGTGACTTTGGGAGTTGTTTCAGTTCACAGCGAAGGGAATCCTGTGGAGAAACTTCGGGACCCAAAATTCAGTGAAGTGATTGAAAGCAACAAATTGTCAGGGGCTGGGCTGGAGGGAAACCAAAGGAAGTGGGTGCAAAGACGCAGCACAGGGAAATCACTTATAAGTGAGTGGTCACCAATGGCGTGCGTGTTGTCTTTTTTTCCCATGTTCCAATTTTCGGGATTTCATGGGGAAGTGAATTTCCATTGGAGCCTCATGGAGGGCTTCTGTTCTTGGGGTGGGTGGAGTTGGTTTAAAGTTGCACGCTTGGGGATCAGAATCTAGAGTTCAAGGCTGTCTTCAAACTTGGAGTCTGCGTTTCCGGCAAGAGGCGGCTTGCTCCTGAAAAAAAGGAAGTCCCTGTTTTGGCTTCCTTTGAGGGAATAACATGTGTCTTGGCGATGTTGGCCACTTGATTGAATTTCTATGGGAGGTCGGAAAATGTTTTGTTTGAAGGGAGGAGGAGGAGATGATCCATGGGGTGTAATGTTGACACCATATTAATCACCACTGCCACTGAAACCAGGGACACCGCCCTATTTAAAAGCTGGGGTTGATTAGTATGGCATCAACATTACCTGTTTCTGATACCCCTGATGCCCCTTCCCGAGATGTCCGATACTTGCGCGATCCCATGAATCTCATTGGAGGGCAGCACGCGCTCCGATTTTGAGGCTGCCCCCTATGAATCCAGAGCTGCCTTGGCCCTTACATTTCCCACACCATGAACTGCAGAAGCCCGCCAAGTAGGAGCAAACCGGATGGATTCCACCCACAACCACATTTCATGTGGAAATGCGGCCAACACAGATCGTCCATACAAAGGTCCTGGACCGGCTAGCAGTCAAACAGATTTGGAGATGAACCTAAGGATGGCACCACCAATTGCATGTTTCAGTTTCACCCATTCCTGGTTCTACAAACTGGGGGTCTGGGGCTGGGAGGGGCTTACAACTTTCGAGCCACAGCCAAACGAGGGCCGACTGGCGAAGGAGATTGAGTTTAGGACTGCAACCTTGCCCAACGCAAGGGGCCTTCCCTTACAAAGAGGCAAGAAGTGGCAGTATGCAGTATCCCATTAAATCTCTAGGCCCCGGATTTCGAAATGGTGAACCCTCCTTTGGAGAATTGGTTTAAAGTGGCAAAAACGAAACCACACGGACGCTTTTTATTTTTGTGGGGGGGGGGGGGGGCGAAACACCCATTCTTGTCTGCGACCCGCCTTAGCAATCGGCACGATGGCCTTCACCTCGATCGCTTCGAGGCTCAAGCCAACTCGAAGTCTCCAAGCAAAACTGAAGACAGCTTTCTTGCTGGTGCGATAGGTAGGGAATGAGAAATGGAATGAAGCGATGGATTCCCCAAAGGAAACCACCAGCAAGGGATGGATTTTCTCGGGGTCATTCCATGTCTCATTCTCAGGAGCATCAGCAAGTTTTAGAGGCACCAAAAGTGACCCAGCTTTCGGTCCGCTTGCCCACCCGCGTGCATGCAGTTTCACCCTGGCTAGCAGGCTAACTTCTCAAAGAAATGAAAAACACCGAGACTTGCGCGTGACATTTCGCCAGCATGACACATGCTGCTAGGTGTCCTGTGAGTATCATTGCTGTAGATCCCTATAGGTCGACAAGAAAAGCCTACATTGTAAACGGGTCACTAGCAAGAGTTCATCTTGGCAGGCTGAAAGTGGCATACCTATTGCAGGGTTCAACACCAATTTGAGGGTAAATCACACCAACTTGCAGAATCTTGTGCTCGCCCGCTGCTTTTGCGGCATTCTTAATTGTTCCAAATAGGCTGTCGTGACCCTTGGCATCCCTTGGCCCACCCCGGAGTCATCCCGGAGTCGAGGAGCGCGGGCATCCACGGAGGCCGTGTGCCAGCAGAGGTGGCCGCGCTTACTGGTGCCCATCAGCGCAAAGGAGTGGATGCCGGCAAAAGCGCCTCGACACAATTCGCCGCGATTCGGATGTGACTCGGAGGCAAAAGCTCCGAATCGCGTTCCCCGAAAACCCGGAAAGTCCATCGGAAGCCAGACATCCGGGCTCTTGGTCATGGCACAAATGCGTTCTGAAGTATATTTTTCCTTGCGTGGTGGGTGAATCTTCTGACGCAAAACAAAGGAAAATCGCTGGTTATCTGCCCAGGGAGCCATTCATTTTGCCAACCCGCTGCTCCTCAAAACCAGCTTACAGCCTGCGAGGTTCCCTCTCCAGGTGAACTTCAAACCGGGAATCTCGTGAGCATTGAGATGCTTTCTGCATCAAGCCAGCCCATCCCTGTTGGGCATTCCCAAAAAGAGGGTGCAACTCGACCAATCCAAGAAGGCCCCTTTGATCCTTATATAGGACTCGGGGCTGCAAAGAAGTCCCAACCAAATGGCCCACATGCAACATGTCTCTTAAATTGGAGGTGGCTCTCCAAAACATGAAGAATGCCCGAAGTTATGTGCTTGCTTGTCTGTCAGCGTGCTTGTCTGCTTTTGAGGCTGCCCTTCTTGCCTTTTGGTTTAAGAGGGAACCAGCAGGAACACCGCCACGTTCAGACCAAACAAATGTTTGGAAGCTCTTCCCTTCAAAAGATGCTTCCCCCCCAACAAGTGAACCAATCCCGGGCCCCATGGCGGGCTCGGATGGCCAATCCCAGGTATTGCCGTGAACCACCGCCTTCGGACGTGCTATCAAGCCGCGTTTGAGGGACACTCCCGGATTTGCGGCTCAAATGTTGGTAATACGGTGCATGCCCGTACTATTGCAAGGATATCAACCACAAACCATGGTTGAATTTACAGGGTTTTGTTCCCTGCTTGCATTTTTTCGGCATCCACCGCAAGTAAGAGAATTATGCTGAAGGGGGTCCGCCCTCCAACCCCCCCCAACCCTGCCCCCCTACCCCCGAACTCAACTGTACTAAAGGAACCAGATTGAGGCAAAGACCCAATTTAGATGACACACAAGTGCACAAAAAAGTAACCAGCGGTTGTTTTGGCTTAAAACCATCCCCCCCGTCCCCCCTCCCCAGCCCCCCCATCCCCAGCCCAGCCCCCTCTCCCCAGCCCCCCCATCCCCATCCCATCCCCCCATCCCCCCTCCCCAGCCCCCCATCCCCCCATCCCCCCATCATCCCGCCCCCCATCCCCTCCCCAGCCCCCCAGCCCCCCAGCAAGAGGCGCCCAGGACGTCCATGGCGCGCACCGTGGCCTTGGCCATGGGCAGCTCCAACATCCGCGGGGCCGGGTCCTGGCGCAGCAGCGCCCAGGAGGTCGACAGAGACCCGTCCTGATGGGGATGGCATGGGGGTGGGAGGGCATGGCTGGGGGGGGGGGGGGGCATGGCTGGGGGGGGGAAGGATGGAGGGGGGTGAAGGATGGAGGGGGGTGAAGGGGGTAGGGGATTTTGCTGTGGCAATAGTTGACTTTTGTTTAAGGGAAACAGGGGGAAAGCACGGTGAAAACAACAACTTTGGTCTTGGTAACCATGGCTTTTTTTGAGCTCATTGGGTTCTTGTGGTGGCTGTTTTTTGCGGGGGGGAGGAGGACTTTCGGGGGGGAGTCTGACAACCGTGGGATTGATGGCTATCAATGACTTTTAGCGACTTTCGGTATCTGTTTGGCGACTATTGGTGACGATATGTGACTAATTTAGGAGTATTAGCACTAGTGGCAACAAGTGGGGCCTTAGGATCTACTTCTTCACTTGTCCTGTTTTAGCCTGCAATATTGTCTCCTGTCTGTGCCCAGTATCAAATAATTCCTGCAAAAGGGGAATGGACCCACGGTTTGGCTGGTTTCAGTCTGGGGATTTTCTTTTGCGGGGCAACCGAGCTGTGGGTTCGACACAACTGCCGGCTCGCGAATTGCCATGGCCATGGTCGCAGAACCAAAGCTGGGTACAGCCCGGTTTGGCCTCAAGAAATATGGACAGGCTGAAACAAGGCCCCATCAATGGAGGCGTCCTTCCAAGCTTTTCGCACGGCAGTGTCCAATTGGAAAGATGCTGCGCATGTTACAAAGTTTTAACACCTAAAACAAGGGATCCCCAAGTGAGCAACCTTCAACCTTCTTGATGGTGCCCTCGGTTTACGCCGCACCTGCAGCTGTACCAATCCTGGGCACCACCACTGGCGTCTTTTTTAGGGGGCCACCATTTTCTCGTCGCTATTACTTCTTCAACCACCCCCCCCAAAAAAAAAAAAAAACTAGACGACGAGTGGCCCGGAAGCATAGAGGCAAGTTGATGCAGGTGAGGTAACTCTCGCAAAGTTAGCATGAGGAGTTGGCAGGCGAAGCAATTCTCAAAAAGTTGGCATGAGAAGCTGGCAGGTTAAGTAACTCTCGAATAGTTGGCTGGCAAAGTTGGCGGGTGAAGTAATTCTCGCAAAGTTGACATGAGAAGTTGGCAGGCGAAGTAACTCAAGAGAAAAGTTGGCATGAGAAGTTGGCAGGTGAAATAACTCTCAAAGAGTTGGCATGAGAAGTTGGCAGGTGAAGTAACTCTCGAAAAGTTGGCGTGAGAAGCTGGCAGGTGAAGTAATTCTCGAAAAGTTGGCACGAGAAGATGGCGCGTGAAGTAACTCTCGAAAAGTTGGCGTGAGAAGCCGGCAGGTGAAGTAACTTTCGAAAAGTTAGCATGAGAAGTTGGCAGGCGAAGTAATTCTCGAAAAGTTGGCGCGAGAAGTTGGCAGGCGAAGTAACTCTCGAAAAGTTGGCAGGCGATGTTGGCAGGTGAAGTACCTCTCGAAAAGTTGGCATGAGAAGCTGGCAGGTGAAGTAATTTTTCGAAAAGTTGCCACGAGAGGTTGGCAGATAAAGTATTTCTCGAAAAGTTGGCATGAGAAGTTGGCAGGTGAAGTAATTCTCGAAAAGTTGGCAGGTGAAGTTGCCACGAGAGGTTGGCAGGTAAAGTATTTCTCGAAAAGTTGGCATGAGAAGTTGGCAGGTAAAGTAATTCTCGAAAAGTTGGCATGAGAAGCTCGCAGGTGTAGTAACTCTCGAAAAGTTGGCATGATAAGCTCGCAGGTGAAGTAACTCCTCGAAAAGTTGGCACGAGAAGTTGGCAGGTGAAGTAACTCTCGAAAAGGTGGCATGAGAAGCTGGCAGGTGAAGTAATTCTCGAAGTTTCGGCATGAGAAACTGGCAGGTGAAGTAATTAACCCTCAAAAAGCTGGAGCGGCGGAGGCGCTCCGCGTGCTACATTTGCAATTTACAGTTGCGATTTTCCAGCCATTTGTATCTAAAAGTTGCGATTTTCCAGCCGGAGCTGCGGGAGCACGCTCCGCGTACTACGTCTGTACTTAAAAAGTGCGATTTTCCAGCCGGAGCTGCAGCAGCCTCCGCGTACTACGTCTGTACTTAAAAGTTGCGATTTTCCAGCCGGAGCTGCAGGAGCACGCTCCGCGTACTACGTTTGTACTTAAAAGCTGCGATTTTCAAGCCGGAGCTGCCGCGGACCAGGGGGGAATCGAACCCGGGACCGCGGGATTGCGAAAGCAGGCGCGCGCACCACGAGACAACTTCCGCCGTTTCGCGAGCAAGAAAATCGCACGGCGCCACAGCGAGAGCGCTTCGACACGCACGATCTCCGCAGAGGGTTCGCCAAGGTCAAGACAAATTCGCACGGCGCCACAGCGAGAGCGCTTCGACACGCACGATCTCCGCAGAGGGTTCGCCAAGGTCAAGACAAATTCGCACGGCGCCACAGCGAGAGCGCTTCGACACGCAGGATCTCCGCAGAGGGTTCGCCAAGGTCAAGACAAATTCGCACGGCGCCACAGCGAGAGCGCTTCGACACGCACGATCTCCGCAGAGGGTTCGCCAAGGTCAAGACAAATTCGCACGGCGCCACAGCGAGAGCGCTTCGACACGCACGATCTCCGCAGAGGGTTCGCCAAGGTCAAGACAAATTCGCACGGCGCCACAGCGAGAGCGCTTCGACACGCACGATCTCCGCAGAGGGTTCGCCAAGGTCAAGACAAATTCGCACGGCGCCACAGCGAGAGCGCTTCGACACGCACGATCTCCGCAGAGGGTTCGCCGCGCTCAAGACAAATTCGCACGGCGCCACAGCGAGAGCGCTTCGACACGCACGATCTCCGCAGAGGGGTGCGTTTCGTAAGCTCCCGTCGGGCCTACCCCCGCCATAAAAAGAAGAAGAATTAAGAGTCGAGATGTGAAGGTAGAACAGAAAAGTTAGCTTGTGTTTTTAGGATAGTGAAGTAACACCCGACAAATTAGCTTGTGCTTTTAGTAGAATGAGATAACAGCCGAAAAGTTGACATGAGAAGTTGGCAGGTGAAGTAACTCTCAAAAAGTTGACATGAGAAGTAGGCAGGTGAAGTAACTCTCGACAAGTTGGCATGAGAAGTTGGCAGGTGAAGTAACTCTCGACAAGTTGGCATGAGAAGTTGGCAGGTGAAGTAACTCTCGACAAGTTGGCATGAGAAGTTGGCAGGTGAAGTTGGCAGCCGCTTTTAGAAGAAGAACCCTTCGCAATGCTTCCGGGAAAAACTAGACGACGAGTGGCCCGGAAGCATAGAGGCAAGTTGATGCAGGTGAGGTAACTCTCGCAAAGTTAGCATGAGGAGTTGGCAGGCGAAGCAATTCTCAAAAAGTTGGCATGAGAAGCTGGCAGGTTAAGTAACTCTCGAATAGTTGGCTGGCAAAGTTGGCGGGTGAAGTAATTCTCGCAAAGTTGACATGAGAAGTTGGCAGGCGAAGTAACTCAAGAGAAAAGTTGGCATGAGAAGTTGGCAGGTGAAATAACTCTCAAAGAGTTGGCATGAGAAGTTGGCAGGTGAAGTAACTCTCGAAAAGTTGGCGTGAGAAGCTGGCAGGTGAAGTAATTCTCGAAAAGTTGGCACGAGAAGATGGCGCGTGAAGTAACTCTCGAAAAGTTGGCGTGAGAAGCCGGCAGGTGAAGTAACTTTCGAAAAGTTAGCATGAGAAGTTGGCAGGCGAAGTAATTCTCGAAAAGTTGGCGCGAGAAGTTGGCAGGCGAAGTAACTCTCGAAAAGTTGGCAGGCGATGTTGGCAGGTGAAGTACCTCTCGAAAAGTTGGCATGAGAAGCTGGCAGGTGAAGTAATTTTTCGAAAAGTTGCCACGAGAGGTTGGCAGATAAAGTATTTCTCGAAAAGTTGGCATGAGAAGTTGGCAGGTGAAGTAATTCTCGAAAAGTTGGCAGGTGAAGTTGCCACGAGAGGTTGGCAGGTAAAGTATTTCTCGAAAAGTTGGCATGAGAAGTTGGCAGGTAAAGTAATTCTCGAAAAGTTGGCATGAGAAGCTCGCAGGTGTAGTAACTCTCGAAAAGTTGGCATGATAAGCTCGCAGGTGAAGTAACTCCTCGAAAAGTTGGCACGAGAAGTTGGCAGGTGAAGTAACTCTCGAAAAGGTGGCATGAGAAGCTGGCAGGTGAAGTAATTCTCGAAGTTTCGGCATGAGAAACTGGCAGGTGAAGTAATTAACCCTCAAAAAGCTGGAGCGGCGGAGGCGCTCCGCGTGCTACATTTGCAATTTACAGTTGCGATTTTCCAGCCATTTGTATCTAAAAGTTGCGATTTTCCAGCCGGAGCTGCGGGAGCACGCTCCGCGTACTACGTCTGTACTTAAAAAGTGCGATTTTCCAGCCGGAGCTGCAGCAGCCTCCGCGTACTACGTCTGTACTTAAAAGTTGCGATTTTCCAGCCGGAGCTGCAGGAGCACGCTCCGCGTACTACGTTTGTACTTAAAAGCTGCGATTTTCAAGCCGGAGCTGCCGCGGACCAGGGGGGAATCGAACCCGGGACCGCGGGATTGCGAAAGCAGGCGCGCACACCACGAGACAACTTCCAAAAGCCGTTTCGCGAGCAAGAAAATCGCACGGCGCCACAGCGAGAGCGCTTCGACACGCACGATCTCCGCAGAGGGTTCATCGGGCTCAAGACAGATGCGCACGGCGCCACAGCGAGAGCGATCCGACACGCACGATCCCCGCAGAGGGTTCATCGGGCTCAAGACAAATTCGCACGGCGCCACAGCGAGAGCGCTTCGACACGCAGGATCTCCGCAGAGGGTTCGCCAAGGTCAAGACAAATTCGCACGGCGCCACAGCGAGAGCGCTTCGACACGCACGATCTCCGCAGAGGGTTCGCCAGGTCAAGACAAATTCGCACGGCGCCACAGCGAGAGCGCTTCGACACGCACGATCTCCGCAGAGGGTTCGCCAGGTCAAGACAAATTCGCACGGCGCCACAGCGAGAGCGCTTCGACACGCACGATCTCCGCAGAGGGTTCGCCGGTCAAGACAAATTCGCACGGCGCCACAGCGAGAGCGCTTCGACACGCAGGATCTCCGCAGAGGGTTCGCCAAGGTCAAGACAAATTCGCACGGCGCCACAGCGAGAGCGCTTCGACACGCACGATCTCCGCAGAGGGTTCGCCAAGGTCAAGACAAATTCGCACGGCGCCACAGCGAGAGCGCTTCGACACGCACGATCTCCGCAGAGGGTTCGCCAAGGTCAAGACAAATTCGCACGGCGCCACAGCGAGAGCGCTTCGACACGCACGATCTCCGCAGAGGGTTCGCCGCGCTCAAGACAAATTCGCACGGCGCCACAGCGAGAGCGCTTCGACACGCACGATCTCCGCAGAGGGGTGCGTTTCGTAAGCTCCCGTCGGGCCTACCCCCGCCATAAAAAGAAGAAGAATTAAGAGTCGAGAAGTGAAGGTAGAACAGAAAAGTTAGCTTGTGTTTTTAGGATAGTGAAGTAACACCCGACAAATTAGCTTGTGCTTTAGGTAGAACAGAAAAGTTAGCTTGTGTTTTTAGGATAGTGAAGTAACACCCGACAAATTAGCTTGTGCTTTTAGTAGAATGAGATAACAGCCGAAAAGTTGACATGAGAAGTAGGCAGGTGAAGTAACTCTCGACAAGTTGGCATGAGAAGTTGGCAGGTGAAGTAACTCTCGACAAGTTGGCATGAGAAGTTGGCAGGTGAAGTAACTCTCGACAAGTTGGCATGAGAAGTTGGCAGGTGAAGTTGGCAGCCGCTTTTAGAAGAAGAACCCTTCGCAATGCTTCCGGGAAAAAACAGACAAGGGAATGATCGAAAGGGGAGAAACCGCCATGAAGCTTCGGGTCAACCGGATGCAGCTGGCCAACTGGGACCCTTTCCTCCACCGAAGGGGCCGCCTGCCCGAAGCGCAGGAAGTTCGCGGGCACGTTGAATAGCACTGCTGCCCTAATCTCGAAATCGTGCGTTCGACTGCGGGGTGGGTGTTCTTCTTTTGGGGACCCCCAACATGGGTGGATGTCCTTTTCGTGCTGCTCCTTTAAAACCACAAAACAAAAGGGTTCACCAATGAGAGTGACAGGAGAGCCTGGGTCAGCCAGGATGCGAAGTAGAGACCCAGGTCCCAAGGTCAGTTCGTGCATCGCCATGTCGCTTTTTTTCGGGGATCCCGGGATTCAGCAAGTGGCCCACCAAGAGACTTGATTTGCCATGCCTGGACATGGTTCACCGCCCAATTGCATAATGCGCACGGAGAAAATCCACGCGGGCCAGGCGATTTAGATGATGCCACGCATCCAACGGTAAACAATGGCGGTTCCATTAACTCCGTACAATTGTGGTGTTCCTTTTGGTTTTTGTTTGGTTTCTCAAGCTTGTATGCGGTGTGGCAATCTTTCATTATTTTGTTTGTGGGGCCAAGCAGGCACCCAAAAAAGAAAAAACTGGTACAAAAGACAGACCCAAATGCGTGCTCAATAATAAGGGCCCCCAACATGTTACCCTGGCTTTTGTTTAACAAACAAGAAGACTAAAACCTTTCTGTGAGATCTCTGAAATTTTGCGCCCCCCCCCCCCCCCTGCAAAAAGTTTAACTAGCTTAACTTTTTGGCGGCTTAGTGGAAAACACCTTTATTTCCCAAAAAAGAAAGTCTAAAGATCCAACCCAGTAGCCGTGAAGCCAAACAAAAAATGGGTCTTGAGCCCCAGCTGCCCTTGGAAGCCGCGCCTCCAGGCGCCCGCCGCATGGGCCACCTGCGCCGCCGCCTGCAGCTCCGCGTCCGCGGCCTCCACGTTCCACGCGGTCTGGGGGGCCGTCAGCGAGCCCAGGGCCACGTAGAGCACGCAGGGGGCATCGCTCAAAGCAGCGCTGAAGGCTTTGGGCGTGATGAGCACCAGGGTGTGGTTCCTCAGGGGAGAGGAGAAAATGAAGAAAGGAAGAAAGGAAGAAAGAAAACAGCAGCGGAAGAAGGGCCAGGGAAGGAGGAGAAACAACGGAAAAGAAAAGGCAGCGGAAGAAGGCAGGGAAGGAAGAGAAAAGAAAGGCAACAAGGCGCGAACGAATATTAAAGCAAAGCCTGCAACCCGAAACCATGTGTGCTGTTGCAAGCAATTGCTTGCACATGCATAAATACGGCCCCATTCTTGATGTGAGCCAGGACCCCTACCTACGCAACTATAGGAAACCATCCCGTTTCTACACAGGGGCCCCCTCCATACAAGTGGGGGATTCCGGGATGCAGGGGTTTACGTGTGCATTCTGGAGGGCATGTTTTTCCTTTGCCCCCCAGCTTGCCATTCTGGCGGGTACCGTTTTCTTGTTCTTTTCTTTCGCCCCCTCCCCCCAAAATCCCGATCTTCCCGAGTTTGCCCCCGATCTGCGCTGAGGCGCCACAGCGCGGGGGTCACCAGATCCGGCAGCCACCTCTGGCTGATCAGCTCCAGTACCTGGCCCTCCCAGGCGGGATCCTTCAGGCGGCGCCCGGTGTCGCGCCAGGCGAAGGCGCCGTCAGGGGCCGACACGAACTGCTTCAGGCAGTCCTGCGGTTCGGTTGACCCCTCTCAGAAGGGAAAAACCTCAATCTCAGAAACTCTGGAGATTGGAAGTGGCTTCTTGGGCACGCTCCAAAAACAAACATTCGCTTCACCAAGCCTGCTTCCCCCCCCCCTCCCACTTCCCGCTTCCCGTGTCGAACTTCGGCTTACGTCGGTCCCAGCCCTGGCACGTGCTGGCCGGCTTCCGCGACAGCTGCAGAGACCGCTGCAGAAGCTCCAGCCCGCGCTCGCCCGCGGCGAGGGCCAGCAGCGAAACAAAAAGCCGCGGCCACATGGCGCTGCGCGCTGGGAGGGCACTCCCCTCCCACCACTCCACTTGAAGCCCAAAAGAATCATTCTTCAAATGCCCGGAAAGGGAGGTGATAATCCATTGCCAACAGGAACGCAGCTTTCGCAGATTGCTTTTTGTCTTAAGCCGTGGCACAGGGAACCGCACAGTTCGGCCGGGCAGGGCTCGAAACAGGTGGGCGTCCCCGCACCAGGTGGGAGCAGAGGTTTCTCTCCACCAGGGCAAATGGGATGCGAACAAAATCTGGAGTCCCAGCTACATGAAAGGGGGTTCGTGAACGAACGCTTGATCCAAAGCCACATCATGAAATAACCTGGCCGGCATGCTGCACCGACTCTCTGCGATATTGCGGCCCGTCTCCACGCTGTGTTGAGGGTGGCCAACCACCATGCCCCGAAGCTGATCAAAGGGTCTCAGGCAAAGTTGATTGTGCGCTGGGGCCATTGCCCGCCCCGGCCCGGCAGCCGCTCGCTTGGACCTGGCATAGACCATGCTGCACATGCGTCGCCGTCTGGCTTCAACCACCCTTGCCCACAGGTGCGAGCCCGTGGGCGCGGCCCTTTTCTCTGCTTCACAGAGTCGGCGCGGCCCTGCGCCTTGGCACTGGGAGAAAACACAAACAGCGCCACATCCATCAACGTCGGTCTGAGCCATCATCGACTCCTTGATCCCCACTCTGGGGATCCAGGCGGACCGAGGTCGCTGGCCTGGCAAGCGAATGGCCCAGTCGCAACCAGTGACCCAGGAAATTGAGAACTGGAACATGTTTGGGGGGCTGACCATGTTCAAAAAGAGAAACGACCAAACAAAACGGAGAAAAGTCCACTGAACAAGTGGGCATGGCTTGAATACTCACGATAAGCCGAGCTGCGCGCTTGAACTTTCACCCCAATTGCAAAGAAAGGAACCATATTGGAAAGGCAACAAACTGCAACTCTCGCCCATTTCGCTGGACAAAAAGGTTTTACAAAGGACCCTAGGTACCAGTGCAAATTTCAAGCGAAGCCTCTTTGATTCCACTTGGGGGTTCCCACATTGAGCCAACACAGCTCTGTCCGCAATGAGTCGGCACCGAACTTGCCCAAAGCGGCGAGCCTCTGGGTGTGAATTCTAGTTCGGAGACCGTTGGTGGATATCGGCTTTTGTCCACCATCCATTTTGGAGGGTCCCCATTAACACTCATAGCCACCATCCACTTGCAGACAGTTGACAAGAGTCGCGGCCTCAGACGCATCGGGCAGGGATTGCGCCTGCAAGCGATTTTCCGGCGTGATCATGCGTGCGTGACCTAAGGATCCCACACCTCACCCGAGCCCATCGCCAGCTTGACCCAAACGGGGCCCCATTTACCGGGCCTAAAAAACTAAGAATGGCCAGGAACCAACGTTTTGAAATAAGACACCATCCACCCCCATCCTCAACACGATCCGCACAAACACGCACTCCCGCCTTGCTTGCCGGTGCCTGGACAGCCCACTGGGTCTTACATCAAACTCAATAGACGACATGTGGAAAGCAAATGGTTTCTCTAGATACATGCTCCTCTTGTCATGAGGCCTTCACCCAGTTCCAGAGTGGAGCCAGGTGTAGGGTTCAGGGGTTCGGTTCCAGAAGGCTCCCAAGCGGTTGCCAGTGCCGTGGGTTCTGGACAGCGGATTCACTGGGAGCCTTTGCTGTGCTTTCAATGGAGGGGCTGGATGGTTCAGAGCCGTGGCCTAAGATTTGCAGACAGGTTCCGGGGGTTGTACCACCTGGGCTAGCTTTGCGCTTTCCAGGGGACACCGGAAAGCGCAAAGACAACGACTTCTCCACCAAAACGTGTTACCAGGATCAAGCACATGTTGCTCCTCCTGTCCGATGAGTTTCGGGCATTGAGCAGCACAGGCAGGAAAGGGCAGATCAACCAAAGTTGTGAGACTAAGTTGGATTCTTGAAATGGAACACGCAGAATCTGCAGTATGTGCACTTGATGGTGCTACGCTTGGCAGCCACGAACAAGTCTTTTGGCGGCCAATGAACATGCTGCACAGCAGGTTGGCAAACGAGTTGCTGGCTGGATCTAAGATCAGCTTCAAACATGTGGGTGTGTCCTTTTTGGGGGACCTGGTTTTCCTTTTGGTTTCCCGCGCGAAAAGGGGTACGATCAAACAATTCACTCACGCTTGCTGCCAAAATCCTGCAAGGGGAGGCCGCAAAAGCGCCACAAAAGCTTCTCACAAGCTCACCTGGCACTTCTCCCATGGGCCGTTCACTTGCTGAACCCCCGATTTGCCAGTACTCATGGCTTGGTTGCGGGAACCCGCTAGATTTTGGGCTCCCAGGTTCCTCACTGTGGGCATCGTCCCTTTTCCCAGGCGGAAGATGACACTGAGCCCCCCTCGGCCTGGATGAACTTGCCGCCCTCCGCGCCAATGTGCTCCGCCAACTCCCCCAGCGCCTCGGAGCGGGCTCGAGGGCGCAGGGAAACCAAGGATGAGATGCCGTCGGTTGGTAGAGAACGCCTTTTCAGAGAAAAGCACCTTTTCTTCTCTCTTTTTTTTGGGGGGGAGGGGGACGTTTTTAGGGGTTGCCTGAAAGCGCGACGTTTTCGCGTCTTCCATATTCTCGGTTTTGGCGTGCGTGTTCTCGCCGTTTTCGTGATAGCCGTGTTTTTGAGTTCTGCCTAATAATATATCTGCGTTTGCCGAATTTGGGGTTGTGAGGTTTGTGAGTTGTCACCATTTGTTCGCAGGTGATTTTGCAGTCTTACCGTTTTCGCGGTGTCCTTTTTTGCGCTCCCGCCTGTTTCGTTCGTGTTGAGCTCTGCTTAATGTTATTGGTTTCTACATGTCTGGTGTTCGCGGTGTCCGCAATTCGTGCAACTTCGAGCTGTTGATTGATGTCTGAGTTGGGGCCTGTTCCGTTTTCCAGAGACTGTGCAAAAGCGCATTAGCTCAAGCGAGCGAAACCCGGAAAAAAACGGCGAGACCCGCGAATCTGACAGGACCCAGAAACAGAAAAAGGTGGAGAACGCTCACTCCGCAAAAGGCGCTGGCGGTGCATGGATTCGCTCGCTCTCAAGTGGCCACGAGTGGCCACAAGTGGTTGCCGGATGGTTGCAATGACAGCCTTGCTACCCTTTTTGCCTAGACTTTAAAGACAAAGAAGCTTGGCGCCTTCTTTTGACTTGAACCTGGATTTTCTCACCTTGGAACTCTTGGGGTAGCTGGCAATTGGCTGAATGTCATTTTATAGAGGGTTTAGTTTTGGGTGGAGATATGTGGCTGGTTGGGGCTCCACTTCTGTGCTCTGGGGTTCGGCCTGGTTCAGGGCTGAGGGTTGCTGGGATTCGTTTTTTACTTGACTTGGGGTTCAATTTAGGGGTTTTGGCATTGATTAGGGGTGGTTTAGGGTTGACTTCGGGTAGGCCAAGTGAGGGTGGGTCAAACGCCTAATTATGTTGGATTAGTGTCAAATCACTTTGTGGGTCGTTTTTGGAGGACCGGTTTTTGAGGCCGATTTTGGAGGTCCGAACCTTCCCTTGCAAAGCAACATTGAGCCCAAATAGGTCTAACAGGATACTCCTCCTCTCAAAATACACCCCCCGAACACAAAATGTAAGTACATAAGTCAACAATGTGGCATAGAACCCAGAGAAGAGGTCTAGCAGGATTCGCTGCAACAACGCATTCGGTGGTTCATGCTTACCGCTCACCGAATCCCCCGACCGTTTCACGGGTTTGCAAACCCATTGCCTGCCACAAGGCAGCCGCCTCCAGGCGATGCTCGCGCCTGCGCAATTGAAAACGCTATTCTCAAGAATATCTCACTTCCGAAGTGGCTTGGTCACAAAAAGTAACCGAACTGTTCTTTCACCACCAAAATGGTCTACCCAAAAGTGACTCAAGTTCAGGAGCTCAGGAAGTGAGACATGGAAAAATGACGGATGTCGGACATAGGTCGCTATGATTTGCCCGGGCATGGGGTCTCGGCCCAGTGCAAGGCACAAAAACCAAACTCAACCATGGTGGTCCCGACTGGTCGCAACCCGAAGTTGCAAACAACAGGTGCGGTCTGTATCTTTTCTAGTTTGATGGTTGGTTTGTTGAAGGCAAAGGGACCCTGAGCTTGACTTTGCAAGTTGCCCAAGGTTGCATGATGGTGTTTTCGCGGTCAGCTACCGGCCGCTCCAAGCCAATGGGGAGTTCTTTCTTCGCGTTTGACGTCGTCAGAACGTTTTTTGTTGGTCATTGCTCCCAGATGCAGCGACCAAGGGGCAGTCGCCACCACTCGACTCGAGGTTCGGTCAAAATGTCCATTGTATGATACATTTGAAAAAGAGACATTCTTGATGGACCAAATCAGTTGGCAATATTGATAGGGACTGGTGCCTGGCGTGGATTTTCTCCATCCACAGTGGATCTCCTGGTTGATGAACAGGGGGCCCTTTCAGTGGGCAGAGACGCAGTGAGTTTCTCTTCTGGGGGACCCCCGCCCATGGTGGTTTTGCTTTTGGCTTTCCTTGAACACTCAAAACTCAGACGATCCCGATCGAAATTGGGGTCTGGCCCCTAAATCGGCCCAAGCCTCAAGCGCTCCAGCCGCCCTGCAAACCGACGGGACGGAAGGCAAAGGGAAGCAACCGACACAGCGCAAGGACCAACAAAAGAGAACTCAGGACCCATAAGTTTGCAGAAAATTCGGCCCACCTGCAGATATGCAAACTTTCGTGGCCTCATTTGGCCATGGGTCAAAATCCAAATCGTACCCCCAGTGAACATCCCAATCCAACCACTAAAATAGGTTCTAAACTGGGTGGTGAATTCACCTACCCCCAAAATGGCATTTGAAGTTTGCAACTTCGGAACCCGAAGTCACTGTCAGTCAGGGGTGGCTTGGCCTCCCTTTTCGGCGAGGGATCCTTCGATTGAGGTTCCTCGGAGAAGAGCGGTCGTCCTGTGGATGAATCCGAAGCCAACTTAAAACAAAAAAATCCGGCTAAACTAGGTGGTTGGTGGAAAGATTCTTTACCCTCTTGGGTGCCCATTTTTTGGATGGGTGAAATAGGGTTTTGGACTGCCCAGGATTCCGAGATGGGGTTGAGTTCGGTTTACCCCTCGATGGGCCGAAGGCTGGCTTGGTACGTTGTTGGGCATGTCCTTTTGAGGAAGGTGTCGGTCCAAGAAAAAGGGAAGGTAAAAGGAGGTTGGTTAAACAGCGGCGGTGTCGTATACCCTCCCACCCAATTAACATGGAACCTGACAGGGGGGCCCGGGGGGGGGGGGGGGCCTGGAAGATCGTACTTTTAAAGAGACCCTCTGTAGGTTCAATATTTAATTGGGTGCTTCTCGGTTCCGTGTGAATCTGGGAAGTCAACCATGGTTTAAACAGGGGTTGTTCTGAAGGCGGCGGAAGTCCAGCGTTTCTGGCAGGGCCAGAAATTCGAAACAACCAGACCCAAGAAAAATTGGCATGGCCCCCTCCAGCAGTCACAAGGCATGCTCGCGGGTGGGGGGGGGGGGCATACTCATTTTCAAAAGAAAAGAACAAAAAGTGCAAATGAAAGGGCCAGATCGCTCCACTCGAGCCAGGCCTGGCTCCTGCGGAAGCAAAGGCTTTTTTTTCCGGAAGCCATGGGAAACCTAGAAAACATCTAATGGTAAGGGCTGCCTCGCATGTGGTTGACTAGTCAGGGGTGGTCCCCTTCATTAGCAAAATTAGCTATTTTAGTGGGTCCCTCCCTCAGTAGACTCCTCCGGATTCATCCGCGGTTAAACCCTCCGCAAAGTCCAACAGAATGTGCTCAAGTAATCATCACCTGGGTAGTCATCGGTGCCCGCACTTTTGCAGCCATGCCCTTGTCGCTGAACAGATTGAGCTCCAGAGCCCCCTTGTACCCAGTTACGCTATCACGCATGGACAAATCCCAAGTCGTCTTCCTCGGATTTGCGATTTGATTGCACCTGCCACCTACTTTCGCATTTAGACCGCAAATCAACTGAAATCCATTCTGAGGGTTCCCTGAGAGATAAACCTACATGGTCCAATGCGCGGGTCATATTCCTTGTCCCTCACAAAGAACCCTGAGTCTTTGTCAAACATCAGGGCTTGGTGATCAGAGCAACAACCCGTCAAGGGGTGCTCTGACCATTGCATGGTTCTTCCCTGCTTGGCCATTTGGCTGCCTGAGTAGCCTGGGTGATGAATTTCACTGATAAAACAGCTTGTCTGCCTTTCTTCCAGCTTTCCCCTTCGCAACCACATTGCCAAATCGGCCCATTCGTATATGCTCTTCTGTTCTGGACCCTTCTCAAGAGTTCGGATCTGTATGAGGGACTTGTAGCACAGCTGATTTAGAATCCCTATTCTGACCCCCAGGGCTTGGTGATGTGAACCTAGGACGAGAGCGGTGTCAGTGTCGTTGTTCTCATGCTCTGACTTATTGGGTACATACCCCGAGCGTTCAAGCGTGCTGGACGCATTGGCATCGCAGAACAAGACACTTCTCTGATAAATCCCCGGCAGGCCCACAGCGCAACTCCTATCGACAGGATGCTGGCTCACTTGAAGGTGTTTTCAGACTTGTGTCCGGTATTTGCGCGGTTGCGAGCCGAGCAGCTGGCGTGAAAAAAGAGGGGAAGAATCCACAGTGTTTCCCCTTCTGGTGGCTTGAAACATCGCCTTTTTGTGGTGGTTTAGAAGTTGAGTGTCCGATGTTTTGTGGGGTGATGCTCAAAAGAGGCCCCCCTGAAGTGGGAATTTCATGTGGCTCGCTGGGCCCCTGTCCCAGTCCTGAAGGTCAGGCCTGGGCGACGGCACAACGGCCTTTCGTTTCGTTGGTTTAGCACAGAAAAGGAAAAGCAGGAACATGCGCGCAAGCAAGCCAAGCCAAGCCAAGTCAGTGCCCGTGTCGCGTTAGTGTTGGTTTTGATGTTCGTGATTTGTTTGGTTGCCTGCTTGTTTGATTTTTTTTGTGCTTTCTTCGTTATTGCTTGGTTTGTTTGGCTTGCTTGGCACCAACCCCCAGCCCAGCCGATTCAACTCGCGGGCCTTCCGCCAGACGTGAGCTTTTCAAGCTCCTAGCCGCGAGTTTCGAACTGCACGTCCCTCCGGTTAGGCGCCTCGTCTTATTCTTTGAGGGCGAGCTTTCTCCGTGCACGCGTGGTGAAGGGCAGCACTGAGAAAGGGCGCGGGTTCAAATGCTCTGGGGCTAGGCGGGCAGAAGCAACGCGCCATTCAATTTGCTTCCGACCGGACTGTCCCTGACTGCAAGCTGGAGAAAGTGGAAGCCCACAAAGACAAGAAGGTTGCAACATAGACCCCAACGGGCCCACTTCTTTCGGTGTATCTGCTTTCAAGGTCCCCTGCTTGCAAACATAAACCCCTACGGGCCCATCATACCAATCCACCAACCCCCTCCCGGTCCGCAGCCAGGCGATCTTGCTTCTGCACCGCCGCGTCGAGCTGTTGGTTTGTTGCCCTGGGCTCGGCAAAAAAGAAACAACCAGGACCTGGGCTTAAGCCATGGTCAAAGCGCCCTTGCGCAGTAAATGATTTATTTCATCATGAGTGGTTTAAACCATCATTGTTGCACAAGCCCCTTTTCCTTCAGAGTTTCAACAATTTCGGCCCCCAGCGAGTACAGCGGACATCTGATGCCTGCCTTGCTCCTTGGCATCTTGCACACTGGCTTCAAACATGTGCCCAAGTCTCCATTGGGTAGATTTCAGCCAAGCTGCTCCAAGAGAGACGCAAAGCTCTCCTTGTGCGACGTGGGCACGTGGCCAAGTGGCCCCCAGCCCACGTTGTATGATATATGTATGAAGGGGGGGCGTAAAGGGAGTATGGGTGTGTCTTTTTTGCGAGGGCGCCCTTTTTGTTGGTTGAAAGGAAAGCGCAGAAAGAAAAACCGCCTACTTTGGTCCCCTTAAAAAAGCACATCCATATGTTCGGAGATAGTGCCATCCATCGCCCGCGCGACTGGATGGAGTGGAGGCTGCCAACCTGAAGCCCTCAATGGACAGCTTGTGATATGGTTTCAGTTGACCCTTAGACCTGAAATCAGCTTCTGTTGCTTGGTTGTTTGGAGCCCGGTGGTTTGGTGTTCTGTGGGAGGGGTGTCCATTTCCCCGGGGGCTGCAAAATTCAAATCCAAATCCAAACCACCAATCCAAACCACCAATGCAAACCACCGACTAAGCATTACCTGATATTGAAAGGCGGATTTATTTCAACACACAACCCTTGAGGTTACCATGAAAGGTCTGCCCGTCTGCCCGTCTGCCCGTCTGCCCGTCTGACGCCATGGGTCGGTGGCTCGGCCCAGATCTTGAACCTCAGGCCACGGCCACGCTGAGCCTTTGGACCCGATGTCTGCACAAATGAAATTACATTAAGGTTGTTCTAAGGCTGCGTCTGATTCTAAGGTTATTCTAAGGTACGTCTGATTCTAAGGTTATTCTAAGGTACGTCTGATTCTAAGGTTATTCTAAGGTTACGTCTGATTCTAAGGCTATTCTAAGGCACGTCTGATTCTAAGGTTATTCTAAGGTACGTCTGATTCTAAGGTTATTCTAAGGTTACGTCTGATTCTAAGGTTATTCTAAGGTACGTCTGATTCTAAGGTTATTCTAAGGTACGTCTGATTCTAAGGATATTCTAAGGCTGCGTCTGATTCTAAGGTTATTCTAAGGCTGCGTCTGATTCTAAGGTTATTCTAAGGTACGTCTGATTCTAAGGTTATTCTAAGGTACGTCTGATTCTAAGGATATTCTAGGGTACGTCTGATTCTAAGGATATTCTAAGGCTGCGTCTGATTCTAAGGTTATTCTAAGGTACGTCTGATTCTAAGGATGTTCTAAGGTACGTCTGATTCTAAGGATATTCTAAGGCACGTCTGATTCTAAGGTTATTCTAAGGTACGTCTGATTCTAAGGTTATTCTAAGGTACGTCTGATTCTAAGGTTATTCTAAAGTTACGGCTGATTCTAAGGTTATTCTAAGGTACGTATGATTCTAAGGTTATTCTAAGGTACGTCTGATTCTAAGGTTATTCTAAGGTTACGTCTGATTCTAAGGCTATTCTAAGGTACGTCTGATTCTAAGGTTATTCTAAGGTACGTCTGATTCTAAGGTTATTCTAAGGTACGTCTGATTCTAAGGATATTCTAAGGCTGCGTCTGATTCTAAGGTTATTCTAAGGTACGTCTGATTCTAAGGTTATTCTAAGGTACGTCTGATTCTAAGGATATTCTAAGGCACGTCTGATTCTAAGGTTATTCTAAGGTACGTCTGATTCTAAGGTTATTCTAAGGTACGTCTGATTCTAAGGTTATTCTAAGGTTACGTCTGATTCTAAGGTTATTCTAAGGTTACGTCTGATTCTAAGGTTATTCTAAGGTTACGTCTGATGATGATTCTAAGGTTATTCTAAGGTTACGTCTGAGCAAGATATTCATGATTCTAAGGATATTCTCCTATGATCATGACTTGTTTGGCTTTAAAGCTCGCCAAGCAACAGGGGCCCACCCCAGACTGCTAGCTAACCTGCGCCGGCACCTCGACCGCACTTGCCGTTTTGCATTTTTTCTCGAAAGGCTTCGCGAGCTGGTACTCTCGCTTGCGAGTGCAGGACAGTTTATAAATAGGTGGGGGTTCCCCTCAAAAATTGGCCTGAGTCCCCACATTTCACCCAGACACACACCCCTATTAATAAACAGAATTTGATTCATACGGGGTCGGCATCGGGTGGAAGCTGGAAAATAACTGGGGGCCAGCTGGAAGCCAAGAGGGCCCCCCCCGAACGGCTCGCACACACACACACAAGAGAGACTGAGCCGCACTCACAACAGAGAACAAGCCTGCACAAAACCGGTACCCTGAAAATATTATGTCCGTTGCCGCCAACACCGTTGCACCCCTGAACACTCTCCAAGGGTCCAACCCGTTTTGAGACCGACTCAAAACAAGTACGTACCGCCGAAGGCCCCCGGAAATCCGGAAAATCACACATCAGCCGGCGCACGGGCTCTTGGGTGTCTGTTTCTTTGGTTTTCCTTTTGGTTTCCCTTGAAAAAGACGGAGCCATGACCCATTTGGGCAAAGACTGGGCGCCCGGCCTCTACTTCCCGTGCCTCCGCGCGCTGCTCCTGCAAAATTTCATGAGCTATTTGCCCTGCATACGCCCCTGCAAATGTATAGGGCCGACCAACCCGTTACTTTTAGAACTGCTTGACGCTGCCTGACCTCAGTTCTTTGGGAAGGGGTTCTGGTTTATTCGGTGGGGCCCAGCCAAAACCAGTGCCAATGTTTAAACCTGCAAGGTGCCCGTGCGACGGCGCCCCCCGCCCATCAGCCGTAAAGCTTCCAGTTCTGCAGTTCAGCCTCACAATTCGCGCAGCTCACTGGTTTCTGCAAAGCCACCAACAAAGGGATACCACCCAAAAAGACAAGACAGGCCTCGTTTCTCGCCAATCCCCAAAATTGGCGAATCCGAAATCGGATGCATTTAAGGAGGCGCAACTCAGCCCACGTGTTGCTCAAACCTTGCCCGACTGCACCCTCTGTTGACCTATACCCTCTTCTGGTAAACTAACCAGTTGACTTCCGGCTAGCATACATTACTCCTTGCGGCCGGCATGTTTGGGCCGCCAACTGCCAAAAGTGTTCGAAACCTTCGAACCGCTCAAATCGTAACGTTCGACCCACCCAATCAAACGCACCCCAAAAAATGTTGGTGACCTCCGATACGGATTTCTTAATAGGGAGGTGCTTCCCCTCACAAACTCCCACATTTCAGCCAGGAGCCCTATGAACAAGCTGGGGTTGTCCTTCATATGGGCTCAACATCAAAGGAGTTGTTAGGCACCTTCGAGGTCCCCTTGACCAAACCGCGGTGTGTGCCCGCCGCAAGCAACGCCGCAACGCCGCAACACCTCGAGGTCCGCTCCTGGCGCCGATGCCCGGCATCCAGCTCCTCCTTCAGCTCGCCTCGGCCGGCTCGGCACCTGAAAACTGCGCGCCTTTGATTGAGTGAAGTGCTATGGTTGTCAGGGGCCCGCCAAGAGGGGATCCCTGGAATTTGTTCTGAAAAGGAGCCCTATTTGTCAGCAACCGTAGGATGAAGCCAGCAAAGCTGGCTACAGAAGAAGAGTCTAAGTGTGGTGAAACCAGGGCTTGGCCCCACTTTGCTCCCCCTTTCAGTGACAACTGGGTCCAGTCAAGGATTCCCAAAATTGCTTGCTAGGAAACATCCTCAGACCCCGGACCCCTACAATGGAGCACACCCTCAAGGGACCTCACAAACAAGCCATGTTGAGGGGCCCCCCCCAGGAAAATCGGGACCCGAGAAAATCCTCTAAGTCAGCTCAAGTGGCCGGCCACTTTTGGGGATCCACGGACTGAGCCTGCGGCCACCCGACGGGCCAGTTAGGGAGCGTACCTCCGGCTCTCTCGGAACTGACAACATATACACAGTATGCACTCAAGATGGGAATTGCACCCCGATGTAGCGTGCATCTGGGCGATTCCTCAGGGCCTCCTTGGGCGATGGTCATGGATCGCTGAACAACGGCCCAGGGTCCATGACCACCAGAAACCATGGGAATTGCAGGTGTTGCCGGCACCCTTGAAGATTCCCATACCTCGCCTATAAGATCAAGTCGCTTAAAATCCTGCTATATACCTGTGGGCGGGAACCTGTTCCTCTTGTAGGGACCCCCTGTCAGGTGCCATGGCAGCGTGGGAGTGAGGGTACCAAACCAAACTCGCTGAGCTCTCCATCCATGGCCTGCAGGTCTGGCGTGCCCTCCATCCTCTCCACCTGTGGCAATTGGAGCCCTTCGAGAGGGCGGAAGTCAGAAGCGCCTCCTTTCATGAGAAATCGTTGCGTGAGATTCCTCAACACAACACAATAGAAGACTACACACAAACCAACAGAAGATCAACAAATGTTTGACGAATAGTGGGCCACAAGCCAACCATGTCGTGTGGAATCTCCTTTGTGTGACCCTCTTTGCGCTCCATGGGCTTAAGTCACACAAACTAGCCCCACCGCCTCAGGAAGGGGAGCGGGAAAAAAAGCCACCTGCTCCGGAAGAAAGAAGGCCCCAACTCAGCCTGAAGTTCGCGTCACCCAGGCACAACTTTCTCCCCAAAAAATAAAGTGATCGCCCGCGCGGGTTCCCCAAAAAGCCCACCGGCACCTTTTTTCTCCGGATTCTTGGCGTCCGAGAGGAGAAAAAAAAGAAAAAACGCCGGACGCCTCGCCTGCCGCCGGAGCTCCTCCACCCGCTGCAGGACCTCCGCGCCCCGAAAGCGCTGCACCTGCGCCTCAAAGAGCTCCAGGCGCGCCCGCAACTCCTCGACTCCAAGCCCCGGAGTCAGCCACGAGGACGGCAAAAAGGCCATGCAAGTGGGGCGCATGATTTTTGTTTTGCTTTTTCGGGGTGCCCTTGTTGGATTGATGTTGTTGGTGTTTGCTTTTTGAGGGAAAGGCAAAAGTGTGGGGTCCAGCCTATTTTGGCACATACCCAAACAAAGATGGCTGCGAAGCTTGCCCAAACCCTGCATGAAGCCGAGCACCACGAAAGCTGCGTCTAACTTGAAACAAGCAATGCTCCACTTCAGACGCTCCTCCACGGAAGCTGTAACCTGCTGCACGGGCTCTGGCGACAGCTCCGCTACTTGCGCCAGCCTCCGTTCCAGTTGACTCAGCTGCTCTGCTTTCTGCGCCTGATCTTGAGACGCACTCTTCGCTGCCTCAGTTGCTGCCCCCACTGCTTCCTCTGCAGTTGCCAGCCGCTTCTGCAAAGCCGCGATGTCCTCAAAGCAAGCAAATGAGCCCTCAATTTCACAGACCAAGCAAGCAACTTCAACTAGGGTCGCCCCTCACGCCCAGTTCGGATAACCGATCCAACCTTTTTTGCATACCAGGGCCGCCCGCCACACACGCTCTTTCACGTTGGTCAGGTTTCGCAAGTAACTACAACACACAGTGACCATGAACGGCCGCATGTCGCCAAAACCAGCCTTGAACAAACCCCTGTCCTGCGTCCAAGGTGTGCTCGCCATCTTTGAGCGGAGCTCGTCCACGGAAGCTGTAAGCTGCTGCACGGGCTCTGGCGACAGCTCTGCTACTTGCGCCAGCCTCCGTTCCAGTTCACTCAGCTGCTCTGCTTTCTGCGCCTGATCTTGAGACGCACTCTTCGCTGCCTCAGCTGCCTGCACTGCTTCCTCTGCTGTTGCCAGCCGCTCCTGCAAAGCCGCGATGTCCTCAAAGCAAGCAAATGAGCCCTCAATCTCACAAACCAAGCAAGCAACTTCAACTTGGGTCGCCCCTCACGCCCATTTCGGATAACCGATCCAACCTTTCTTGCATACCAGGGCCGCCCGCCACACACGCTCTTTCACGTTGGTCAGGTTGTGCATCTAACTACAACACACAGTGACCATGAACGGCCGCATGTCGCCAAATCTAAGTCTCTTGAAAAACCACCGGTCCTGCGTCCAAGGTGTGCTCGCCATCTTTGAGCGCAGCTCGTCCACGGAGGCTGTAAGCTGCTGCACGGGCTCTGGAGACACCTCCTCTACTTGCGCCAGCCTCCGTTCCAGTTGACTCAGCCGCTCTGCTTTCTGCGCCTTATCTTGGGACGCACTCTTCGCTGCCTCAGTTGCTGCCTCCACAGCTTCCTCTGCTGTTGCCAGCCGCTTCTGCAAAGCCGCAATGTCCTCAAAGCAAGCAAGTGAGCCCTCAATCTCACAGACCAAGCAAGCAACTTCAACTAGGGTCGCCCCTTACGCCCAGTTCGGATAACCGATCCAACCTTTCTTGCATACCAGGGCCGCCCACCACACACGCTCTTTCACGTTGGTCAGGTTTCGCAAGTAACTACAACACACAGTGACTAGAAACGGCCGCATGTCGCCAAACCTAAGTCTCTTGAACAACCCCCTGTCCTGCGTCCAAGGTGTGCTCGCCATCTTTGAGCGCAGCTCGTCCACGGAAGCTGTAAGCTGCTGCACGGGCTCTGCAGACACCTTTTCTACTTGCACCAGCCGCCCTTCCAGTTGACTCAGCTGCTCTGCTTTCTGGGCCTGATCTTGGGACGCACTCTTCGCCGCCTCAGTTGCTGCCTCCACAGCTTCCTCTGCTGTTGCCAGCCGCTCCTCCAAAGCCGCGATGTCCTCAAAGCAAGCAAATGAGCCCTGAATCTCACAGACCAAGCAACCAACTTCAAACGAGGGTAGAGTATCAGTATACCCAGGCATCACGTAACCAACCCAACCTGATAGAAACCAGAGTTGTATACAAAAAAGATACAACACATCTACAATACACCTGCTATGGTTTTGATTTAGTTCTTCGGGTTGGTCAAGATATGAACTTACAACACACCATGACCAATGAATAACAAGCTCGCAAACCGAGCAAGGTCACTTCAGCGTCGCCCCTCATACCGACTCACGTTAGCCTGGCAGAATCAACCATTTTGAAAGGGGTCGTCACAAAATCATTTTCACACTGGTCAAGTTGCGCAACTACAACACACACCCTCAGCAAAACGACTGTCCTGCGTCCAAGGTGTGCTCGCCATCTTTGAGCGGAGCTCGTACATGGAAGCTGTAAGCTGCACTGGCTCTGCTGACACCTCTGCTACTTGCGCTAGCCACCCAGAAGCTGCCTCCACTGCTTCCTCTGCTGCTTCCAGCCGTGCCTGCAAAGCCGCGATGTCCTCAAAGCAAGCAAATGAGCCCTCAATCTCACAGACCAAGCAACCAACTTGAATTGCCCCTCAGGCCGACTCAGGCCGTTGTCGAGTAGGCAAGCCGACCATTTTGGCAACCAGGACCGCCACGCATGCTCTTTGATGTTGGTCAGGTTGCGCAAGCAACTACAACACACAGTGACCATGGAACGGCCGCATGTCCAAATACAAGTCTCTTGAACAACCCCCGGTCCTGCGTCCAAGGTGTGCTCGCCATCTTTGAGCGGAGCTCGTCCACGGAGGCTGCAAGCTGCTGCATGGGCTCTGGAGACACCTCCTCTACTTGCACCAGCCGCCCTTCCAGTTGACTCAGCTGCTCTGCTTTCTGCGCCTGATCTTGGGACGCACTCTTCGCCGCCTCAGTTGCTGCCTCCACAGCTTCCTCTGCTGTTGCCAGCCGCTCCTCCAAAGCCGCGATGTCCTCAAAGCAAGCAAATGAGCCCTGAATCTCACAGACCAAGCAACCAACTTCAAACGAGGGTAGAGTATCAGTATACCCAGGCATCACGTAACCAACCCAACCTGATAGAAACCAGAGTTGTATACAAAAAAGATACAACACATCTACAATACACCTGCTATGGTTTTGATTTAGTTCTTCGGGTTGGTCAAGATATGAACTTACAACACACCATGACCAATGAATAACAAGCTCGCAAACCAAGCAAGGTCACTTCAGCGTCGCCCCTCATACCGACTCACGTTAGCCTGGCATAATCAACCATGTTGAAAGGGGTCGTCACAAAATCATTTTCACACTGGTCAAGTTGCGCAAGTACAACACACACCCTCAGCAAAACGACTGTCCTGCGTCCAAGGTGTGCTCGCCATCTTTGAGCGGAGCTCGTCCACGGAAGCTGTAAGCTGCACTGGCTCTGCTGACACCTCCGGTACTTGCGCTAGACACCCAGAAGCTGCCTCCACTGCTTCCTCTGCTGCTTCCAGCCGTGCCTGCAAAGCCGCGATGTCCTCAAAGCAAGCAAATGAGCCCTCAATCTCACAGACCAAGCAACCAACTTGAATTGCCCCTCAGGCCGACCCAGGCCGTCGTCGAGTAGGCAAGCCGACCATTTCGGCAACCAGGACCGCCACGCATGCTCTTTGATGTTGGTCAGGTTGCGCAAGCAACTACAACACACAGTGACCATGAAACACCCGCATGTCCAAATACAAGTCTCTTGAACAACCCCCGGTCCTGCGTCCAAGGTGTGCTCGCCATCTTTGAGCGGAGCTCGTCCACGGAGGCTGTAAGCTGCTGCACGGGCTCTGGAGACACCTCCTCTACTTGCGCCAGCCGCCCTTCCAGTTGACTCAGCCGGTCTGCTTTCTGCGCCTGATCTTGGGACGCACTCTTCGCTGCCTCAGTTGCTGCCTCCACAGCTTCCTCTGCTGCTGCCAGCCGCTCCTGCAAAGCCGCGATGTCCTCAAAGCAAGCAAATGAGCCCTCAATCTCACAGACCAAGCAATGAATTGCCCCTCAGGCCGACTCAGGCCGTCGTCGAGTAACCAATCCGACCATGTTGGCAACCAGGACCACCACGCATGCTCTTTGATGTTGGTCAGGTCGCGCAACAAACTAAAATACGCAGTGACCATGAAACGGCCGCATGTCCAAATACAAGTCTCTTGAACAACCCCCTGTCCTGCGTCCAAGGTGTGCTCGCCATCTTTGAGCGGAGCTCGTCCACGGAAGCTATAAGCTGCTGCACGGGCTCTGGAGACACCTCCTCTACTTGCACCAGCCGCCCTTCCAGTTGACTCAGCTGCTCTGCTTTCTGCGCCTGATCTTGGGACGCACTCTTCGCTGCCTCAGTTGCTGCCTCCACAGCTTCCTCTGCTGTTGCCAGCCGCTCCTGCAAAGCCGCGAGGTCCTCAAAGCAAGCACATGAGCTCTCAATCTCACAAACCAAGCGACCAACTTGAATTGCCCCTCAGGCCGACTCAGGCCGTTGTCGAGTAAGCAATCCGACCATTTTGGCAACCAGGACCGCCACGCATGCTCTTTGATGTTGGTCAGGTTGCGCAAGCAACTACAACACACAGTGACCATGAACGGCCGCATGTCCAAATACAAGTCTCTTGAACAACCCCCGGTCCTGCGTCCAAGGTGTGCTCGCCATCTTTGAGCGGAGCTCGTCCACGGAAGCTGTAAGCTGCTGCACGGGCTCTGGAGCCACCTCCTCTACTTGTACCAGCCGCCCTTCCAGTTGACTCAGCTGCTCTGCCATCTGCGCCTGATCTTGGGACTTACTCTTCGCTGCCTAGACCAAGCAACCAACTTGAATTGCGGTCGCCCCTCAGGCCGACTCAGGTTGTCGTCGAGTAAGCAATCCGACCATTTTGGCAACCAGGACCGCCACGCATGCTCTTTGATGTTGGTCAGGTTGCGCAAGCAACTACAACACACAGTGACCATGAAACGGCCGCATGTCCAACTACAAGTCTCTTGAACAACCCCCGGTCCTGCGTCCAAGGTGTGCTCGCCATCTTTGAGCGGAGCTCGTCCACGGAAGCTGTAAGCTGCTGCACGGGCTCTGGAGACACCTCCTCTACTTGCACCAGCCGCCCTTCCAGTTGACTCAGCTGCTCTGCTTTCTGCGCCTGATCTTGGGACGCACTCTTCGCTGCCTCAGTTGCTGCCTCCACAGCTTCCTCTGCTGTTGCCAGCCGCTCCTGCAAAGCCGCGATGTCCTCAAAGCAAGCAAATGATCCCTCAATCTCACAAACCAAGCAACCAACGAATTGCGGTCGCCCCTCAGGCCGACTCAGGCCGTCGTCGGTAACCAATCCGACCATTTTGGCAACCAAAACAACCACGCATGCTCTTTGATGTTGGTCAGGTTGCGCAAGCAACTGCAACACACAGTGACCATGAAACACCCGCATGTCCAAATACAAGTCTCGTGAACAACCCCCGGTCCTGCGTCCAAGGTGTGCTTGCCATCTTTGAGCGGAGCTCGTCCACGGAAGCTGTAAGCTGCTGCACGGGCTCTGGAGACACCTCCTCTACTTGCACCAGCCGCCCTTCCAGTTGACTCAGCTGCTCTGCTTTCTGCGCCTGATCTTGGGACGCACTCTTCGTTGCCTCAGTTGCTGCCTCCACAGCTTCCTCTGCTGTTGCCAGCCGCTCCTGCAAAGCCGCGATGTCCTCAAAGCAAGCAAATGAGCCCTCAATTTCACAGACCAAGCAACCAACTTGAATTGCCAGGACCGCCTTGCATGCTCTTTGATGTTGGTCAGGTTGCGCAAGCAACTGCAACACGCAGTGACCATGAAACGGCCGCATGTCCAAATACAAGTCTCTGGAACAACCCCCTGTCCTGCGTCCAAGGTGTGCTCGCCATCTTTGAGCGGAGCTCGTCCACGGAAGCTGCAAGCTGCTGCACGGGCTCTGGAGACACCTCCTCTACTTGCACCAGCCGCCCTTCCAGTTGACTCAGCTGCTCTGCGTTCTGCGCCTGATCTTGGGACGCACTCTTCGCCGCCTCAGTTGCTGCCTCCACAGCTTCCTCTGCTGTTGCCAGCCGCTCCTGCAAAGCCGCGATGTCCTCAAAGCAAGCAAATGAGCCCTCAATCTCACAGACCAAGCAACCAGCTTGAATTGCCCCTCAGGCCGACTCAGGTTGTCGTCGAGTAAGCAATCCGACCATTTTGGCAACCAGGACCGCCACGCATGCTCTTTGATGTTGGTCAGGTTGCGCAAGCAACTGCAACACACAGTGACCATGAAACACCCGCATGTCCAAATACAAGTCTCTTGAACAACCCCCGGTCCTGCGTCCAAGGTGTGCTCGCCATCTTTGAGCGGAGCTCGTCCACGGAAGCTGTAAGCTGCTGCACGGGCTCTGGAGACACCTCCTCTACTTGCACCAGCCGCCCTTCCAGTTGACTCAGCTGCTCTGCTTTCTGCGCCTGATCTTGGGACGCACTCTTCGCTGCCTGAGCTGCTGCCTCCACAGCTTCCTCTGCTGCTGCCAGCCGCTCCTGCAAAGCCGCGATGTCCTCAAAGCAAGCAAATGAGCCCTCAATCTCACAGACCAAGCAACCAACTTGAATTGCGGTCGCCCCTCAGGCCGACTCAGGCCGTCGTCGGTAACCAATCCGACCATGTTGGCAACCAAAACCACCACGCATGCTCTTTGATGTTGGTCAGGTTGCGCAAGCAACTGCAACACACAGTGACCATGAAACACCCGCATGTCCAAATACAAGTCTCGTGAACAACCCCCTGTCCTGCGTCCAAGGTGTGCTCGCCAGCTTTGAGCGGAGCTCGTCCACGGAAGCTGTAAGCTGCTGCACGGGCTCTGGAGACACCTCCTCTACTTGCACCAGCCGCCCTTCCAGTTGACTCAGCTGCTCTGCGTTCTGCGCCTGATCTTGGGACGCACTCTTCGCCGCCTCAGTTGCTGCCTCCACAGCTTCCTCTGCTGTTGCCAGCCGCTCCTGCAAAGCCGCGATGTCCTCAAAGCAAGCAAGTGAGCCCTCAATCTCACAGACCAAGCAACAAACTTGAATTGCCCCTCAGGCCGACTCAGGTTGTCGTCGAGTAAGCCATCCGACTCTTGAACAACCCCCTGTCCTGCGTCCAAGGTGTGCTCGCCATCTTTGAGCGGAGCTCGTCCACGGAAGCTGTAAGCTGCCGCAAGGTCTCTGGTGACACTTCCGTCACTTGCGCTAGCCGCCCAGCTGCTGCCTCCACTGCTTCCTCTGCTGTTGCCAGCCGCTCCTGCAAAGCCGCAATGTCCTCAAAGCAAGCGAAGGAGCCCTCAATCTTACAGACCAAGCAAGCAACTTCAACTAGGGTCGCCCCCCATGCCAAGCTCGAATAACCGATCCAATCTTTTTCGCATAGCAGGGCCGCCCGCAACGCACGCTCTTTCACGTTGGTCAAGTTGCGCAAGTAACTACAACACACAGTGACTAGAAACGGCCGCATGTCGCCAAATTCAAATCTCTGGAACAACCCCATGTCCTGCGTCCAAGGTGGGCTCGCCATCCGGAGCTCGTCCACGGAAGCTGCAAGCTGCCGCAAGGTCTCTGGTGACACTTCCGTCACTTGCGCTAGCCGCCCAGCTGCTGCCTCCACTGCTTCCTCTGCTGTTGCCAGCCGCTCCTGCAAAGCCGCGATGTCCTCAAAGCAAGCAAAGGAGCCCTCAATCTTACAGACCAAGCAAGCAAATTCAACTAGGGTCGCCCCCCATGCCGAGCTCGAATAACCGATCCAACCTTTTTCGCATACCAGGGCCGCCCGCAACGCACGCTCTTTCACGTTGGTCAAGTTGCGCAAGTAACTACAACACACATTGACTAGAAACGGCCGCATGTCGCCAAATTCAAGACTCTTGAACAACCCCCTGTCCTGCGTCCAAGGTGTGCTCGCCATCTTTGAGCGGAGCTCGTCCACGGAAGCTGCAAGCTGCTGCACGGGCGCTGGAGACACCTCCGCTACTTGCACCAGCCGCCCTTCCAGTTGACTCAGCTGCTTGGCGCTGTGCTGCGCCCGGTCCTCTGCCTGCGTCATCCGATTCTTCAGGTTCCGGATCTCCTGACGTGCTTCTCATGCGCTCAGCTTGCGAAGGGCACTTCAAAGAAGTGGAGTGTTCAAGTGATCGAAAGGTCAAAACGAAAAAGTGAGAAACCTCCCAGGTAACTCCTTTCATGAAGACATAAGACACAAAAAACGAAGAACTGCTCGAAGGGCCAACGACCCACTAAGCCACACCAACCCGCGCCAACCACCCCCAACACCCACCAACCCCGCCAACCCTGCCAACCCCGCAAACCCCGCCAACCACCGCCAACCACCGCACCCCACCCCAACACCCCACAACCCTTGGGTGTTGGGTGTGGTTGGTGGGGGTTGGTGGTGATTGGTGGGGTTGGTAGGGTTGGTGGGGGTTGTCGGGTGTTGGGGGTGGTTGGTGGGGGTTGGTGGTGATTGGTGGGGTTGGTGGGGGTTGGTGGGGTTGGTGGGGGTTGGTGGGGGTTGTTGGGTGGGGTTGGTGGTGATTGGTGGGGTTGGTGGGGGTTGGTGGGGTTGTCGGGTGTTGGGGGTGGTTGGTGGGGGTTGGTGGTGATTGGTGGGGTTGGTGGGGGTTGGTGGGGGTGGTGGGGGTTGGTGGGTTGGCGAGGGTTGGCGAGGGTTGGCGGGGTTGGCGGGGTTGGTGGTTGTTGGCTGTTGGGGATGGTTGGTCGGGGTTGGAGCCACCAAATAACCTCCAACAAAGACACACAGGATAATGAATCAGGTGGCTACATCATACTATTTCCTTATCTTTCCATTTCTCTTTTATTTTCAAGTATTAGTATTGGTTGAGGACGTTTCGTTCCGTCGCTTCTATCGTTTATCCTCATCCATAATAACCGACGGGAAAGGTCCTGAACTAACCTACAAACACAATCCAAATAACCATAATAAAAGCAAATTAAAGTAATAAAGATAAAGAACGATGCAAACCTAAGGACTGTTAACGCCTGGTCTGGAGAAGACTCGTCTTTTCAATAGTCTTACCGCTGCAGCTGGGACTAGATTTCATGGTCACTTTCCTTACACCTCCAAGCCTCTATTCTATGGCTTGGTGAGGTGGGATTGGCGGGGTTGGCGGGTTTTTGGGGTTGGCGGGGTTGGTGGTTGTTGGGTGTTGGTTGGGGTTGGTTGGTGGGGTGGTTGAGTGTTGGGGGAGGTTGGTGGGGTGGTTGGGTGTTGGGGGAGGTTGGTGGGGGTTGGTGGGGTTGGCGAGTTGGCGGGGTTGGCTGGTGGTGTTGGTGGTTGTTGGGTGTTGGGGGTGGTTGGTGGGGGTTGGTGGGGTTGGCGAGGATTGGTGGGGTTGGGAACCCCACCAACCCCACCAACCCCACCAATCACCACCAATCACCACCAACCCCACCAACCACCCCCAACACCCAACAACCCCACCAACCCCCACCAACCCCGACCAACCCCACCAATCACCACGAACCCCCACCAACCACCCAAACCCCAAGGAACGACGTCGAACCCGCGCCTCCCGCTCACGCCAAAGGTCTTTGGCCGACGTTTGCTCCGCCACCTGCCGCTGCAACTCCGCAAGGGCCGTCTCCACCTGAGCCGAACATCGGATTTACCGAGCCACGCGGCTCCGCTTTTTGTACGCTAAAAAGCGCGTTCCCAATGAAAACATCCGATTTCCAATGCGGCTCCGTTCTAAACAGAAAAGCGTGTTCCCAATGAAAAGCAGCCAAAGGGCCAAAGGGTCTTCCTCAGCTTGACCCTTGACAATGAAACCGAACAGGTAGCCAAGTAACCAATGAAGCAACATTGCTTTCTGGGACGGGCTGTAGATATAAATAAAAGCCGGTTGAAACGTGGCTGCCCTTCCCAAAATAGGGGTTCCTTTCATCCCCAACTTCACCCTCTCGTTTCGAACAAAATGGGGTGGTGATTTCATTTGATTTCTCTGCGAACACATGATTTGAACCATATCTCCAAATAGGGTACCTCCAACAAAAGAACGCCACACCCCAGTCTTACCACACCTGCTGCAGCTGGCAAGCCGACAATTTCGGTTCGCGCGCAGAATCCTCCTGCGGGTCGGGGGCCCTAGGCCACAGAACTTGAACAAAACACCCCCTGCAACCCCCTCCTTGTAAGCAACGCCCACCCAGTTCGGCTAGTGCCCAGACTTGGGATTGTCAGCTCAGCGACTCGCAGAAAGATCGCGTGTCCGGGGGTTCAGGGTTCTGGCGATGTACGATGTTTTCAAGGGGTGCCAAAAGGATTCCTCATTCAAGTTCAGAACCACGTGGCTATGAATTTGACTTGTTGAAACACCCTCCTCCACAATGATGGTTGCATAAACCCAACCATGTAGACTATGTCCATCCAAGGGCCCCCAACCAAAACTCATGCCTTGCATAACTCCAAGAAACAAGGTCGAACCATTGAACCCACAGGACACTGTTTTTAATAAAGAATGTTGCTGAAAAAGGCAACGGTACAGCTGTTCAACTCACCAGTGCCGCATGCCGAATTGGCACTGGCTTTCACTTGAAACTCAGGTTGATTTTTAACTTGTAGATGTCCACAAAGGTGCAATCCAAACAATTATGCCTAAATTTGACCCTTCTAGCAATCCGGTAAGGCTCCTCTCCTTTTCCCGTAGCCATGACTTCTTTAGGCCCCCGGGTCCTCCGCGGCCGATCGCAGCTCCGCCAGACCCGCCTCCGCCTGCTCCAGCCGTCGGGACTCCCCCAGTCGGGCGCTCGTCTCCGCCGCTATTCGCGCACGCAGATCTGCGAGGTCCTCGCGGGTCAAGGAGGTGTGTTTGCCTTTGCTTGTGAGCACCTACACTGCAAGTCAGCTCACGGTAGGACTTGACATCCTTGCCCAAAGTGGCCATTTGCTGATGGCCCCTCGAAGCAGTGGCCCGTTTGCAAAGGCACCGCTCCAATGGACTCAGTTCCTGCCGTGTGTTCCAACTGTTTCTTAGCTTATTCACGCGCAGCAAGCGCGCTCCCCAAAAAAAACACAGCTGAATCAGCTTCAGCACTACAGAAGTTATGCGTAGAGATGCCTAGTAAATGCGTACATGTCACCCGTGTTGATTCTAAAAGTAGGTGTTCAACAAAAGTGACAAGCAACATTAACATTAACGATGTAAGGTGCTAAAACAACTACCAACGAGTACTCCTATAGCCTGTAATTATGACAACAAATGATTTCCGGGCACCCTACAACGAAACTGGCAGGTGGCAGCGCCAAACAAACCAGTCAACAATGGCAAGTCTCAACAACCGGCATGGCATGCGTCACATGTGTGACACGCATCGCACATCCATTCAGGCGCCGAGAATGTGTGGACTGGGCGGAATTTGTGCAGAGCTGGAGGGCAGCAAAGGCCAAAGGGGCCTTACAGCCCCGTTTTCCCTGGTAGAATCTGGCACAATGGGAGTAAGGAAACCATCTGGTTCTTCAAGAGGGTAAATGGGAAACCCCCCCCCCAAACCACCAAGCCATCCCAAAGGAGTGTCATCTTCCGGATCCCTCCTGTCAGCTTCTTGGACAATCGACTTCCCGTCCTCCGCCAAGACGGACCGCAGCTCCGCCAGACCCGCCTCCACCTGATCCGGCCGTCTGGGCTCAAGTCGGGCGCTCGCCTCCGCCCGCGCCCCATCTGCGCGGTCCTCGTGCGTCAAGGAAACCGAAAACCGCCGGTGTTCGGCACAAACGCCACAAACGCCGCCCCGACTCGGCGAAAAGTTCCCCCGACCGAGAGCCGGCGAGTCAAAAACTCCCTGGGGGTCCATCAGCAGTCCTGCGAACAGACGCGCTCCGCGGAAGCCGCCAGTTGCTCAAGCTGCTCCGCGTGCCTTTGTGCCTGGGCCCGACTGGCACCATTCGCCGCCTCCGCCGTCGCCAGCCTTACCTCCAAGTCCTGAAGGCCACGTGCCGAAGAACAACAAGCTCAGTGACATGAGCACATTCACATGCATTTGTTTCCAACTTTGGGGACCCGCATGAACCCCACGTGGCCTTAGCTGCCCTATGCTTCCCGAAGAGCGCGAGCCGCAAAAGGGAATGGCTGGATTTTGGAAATAGTGACAAACATGGCGGAAGTAAGAACGCATGCGCCAAAAACCTGGAATTGAAATCTTCTCAACCTTTCAGCCACTCAGCATAGCCCAGGGCCAACCAACAAAGTACGCCCGTGGTGTTCAACCAATTCAACCGGAAATAATCGTGGCATGCCCAACCTGGCCAGCCACGGCTATCTACGCGGATTGAACCTCCAATGACCAGCCTAGAACTCGCCAATTCCCCAAGAAAAAAGGAAAAAATATAAAAACAAGTTGGGCGTCCCTTAAATGATGCAACTTTGGGCCAGTTAAGCAAACACCAGCTGTGATCTTGGCATGTTTGGATGACCTCCATTCTGGCCTCCTGCAGGCTTTCTTTTGGCTGAAAAAGATCGGCCTGCCTTTCTCGAGGCTACCTTCTTGTGGTGTTCTCAACGGGAAATCAAAAGGAGCACCGCCTTTTTGGCCCAACCTTAAAAAAAAGACACGCCCATGGCAAACGCACATGGCGTCAACGGCAGTGATGATACCTTTCCGAAGCGTCAACGCTTCGAGTTCTGGGCATTCAAGCTGTTCAAGCTGGATTCGGCCCCATTGACTCATTTGTTTACCACAAAAAAAAAAAACAATCAGCGGTCGGTTAAAATGAAACCACCCCAGTTGCTGACTTTAATACCCCCAAGAAGCCACCAAAGCCGCTGGGTGCGAATTTCTGCACCTAGCAAAAACTGAAAACCCCGATTCGATCGAACCAACGGTAAATACCAACAAACCTGGCGGATGACGCCCTCGCACCCACCCGCCCGGCGAGCTCGAGAGCGCGCCTGCACGGACTCCATGGCCTTGGAGGCCTCAAGCGCCTACGCGCCGCTGGCGAAGCGCAGAGTGCGCGAAGCCGCACAAAGCAAACACGTGGACAAAAAGGGACATATATAAAAAAACAATTGATATACCTATTGTATGCGTGTTTTTGCAAAAATGGTTTCCATATGTACTATTCATATGTGTATATAATACACTTTTCTCTGTGTGTGAGTTTCTGCGTGGACATGAAAATGCGCGTTGTGAAGGAAAAAAAAAGAGAGAGAAAAAAAAAGGGGCATGGCCCCGGCCAGCTGGTGACGCAGGCCCTCCACCACGTCGGCCAGCTCGTGCCTGCGGAACTTGTGGCAACCTCGTGCCTTCTGCTCCCTGGGGAGCAACATGAGCATCGCGCACACACACACACCCCATTGGGCGATTTTCGTCGATTGCACCGGTGTTTACCTCGGGCCCGAACCGTCATGACAGATCCGAAAAAGTCCATGGGCTTTGGGCGCGGCACGCGTTGCCAAATGCAGGCGCCCTTTCCCTTCCAAAGCCAAAGAGAGCGGCTTCTCAAGAAACCCGACGTGACAACATGGAGCCCTGCCATCTCATTGGAGTCTCCTTTGGGTGGCATTCGGGGCAGCATCTCAATCTGGTGGGCGTGGTGTTCCAGAAGTAGGAACCCCGATACCGTTCACTGTTGTCAGAACCTAGTAAAGATCGTCCAAATGTTACGTGATATTCACCTGTTACACTTCCTAAGGCAATAGAGGAGTGCCAAACCTTGCAAATAGTCTATGCTAAGTTTGAACGGCCCAAGCCACCGAATGTTAAATGAGCATTGTGTACAGCAAAGGTCCCTGAAACAAGCCTCCAAATGCCGGAGGGCCACGCAATCCCCTCTAAACATGCCCAAATCATCTGCCTCAAAGCATCCACAGATGATGCGATCTCCTGCTGCAACTCGCCTTTGCTTTTGCCTGGAGGGAAAAGAACGCAACTCTGCTAAGCTGCTCCCCCACCGACCCCTGCTGCACACACACACACACACAGAAAACGACCGTCTCATGCGTCGCAGAACGCGAGGCGAATCTGAGAACTTCGCCGAAGGCGTTGCAGGCTGCCACGGCCACGTCATCCAAAAGGTCTGCGCCGACTTTGGGCGCCTTGGGCGGTGACAGGCGTGTGGTGACGTTCAGTAGGGGGACCCTGTGGAGAGGTGGGGGCACCATTGATTTGAAAAAAATCATATCCATCAAACACTTTTCAGGGGCTTCCCTACTTAAACTCATGGCCAAAAACAAAAACAAAAAAACTCATCCCTCGCGAAGCTCCGTGGGCTCCGGGCTCGGAGCATCTTTGTCTCCCCTGGCGACAGCGGATTCTGGGGCCCGTGCCGCGCTCTGAGCCCCTTCCATTGGGCTGGTCTCATAGAAATCGGACCCCCTCCCCCCCGAAATGGCTCGTCCGCTTTGGCTTCCCCGTAAAAACGGCCCATCCAAGGGGGAAAATTTCAAGAAGACATGCCCATCCAAAACAAAAAAAAGTTGAAGACTTGCCCATTCTCCGCCCCCCAATGGGACAAGCCCACCTTCTTCACGTAGGCTGGCGAGCATGGCCTCTTGCAGTGCCACACCTTCCTCGCAAGCCGCTGGCGCCCCAAGCTCAAGGCGCACGCGACAACGCACGACACCAACTCCGCGCGAGTGGCTCAAATCGGGCGACTTGGTCCGACCCTGCGCAAGAGAACAATGAAATGAGGCGCGTTTGGATCAAAGGGCTGAACTCCTCACCCGGCCCTGCCAAAAAACAAAAAAACGCATGCCGAGCGGCAAAAGCCTCCGCGTTCGCATTTTTCAGGACCTGCGCGTTGAAGCCAGCACTTGCCAAGAAGTGTTCGGTCAGCGTCGCACGCATCCCAGTTTGCCAAGTGGTGGGAAGGAAAGGGGCACTTCTTATCACCACCTGCCTGGCCCAACATGGATGGCGGATGAGAACAAGGATTGCCTTGACGCAAAATCCCACTGGAGTTTAACCCGCAAAAGTATGGAGGAGCATATCACCACAAACCAATGACGAACATAAGCATGCACCTTGATCCGAAAATGCAAAAAAAAAAACATGCCCGACGCTCAAAAAAAAAACGAATTGCGATACGCCCGCCTTGCCGGCAACTGCCTTGTCACTCGCTGCCAGCTTCCGTAGCTCGGATTCGAAAGCATTTGTCCACCTGCCCAACGAATCTGCCAGATTTCCTTGAGACTGCGTGTCAAAGGGGGATGGCTTTGATTTGTCCTGCCCTCAACCAACTGGAAAAGGACACTGAAAATCAGCGTTTCCAGCGGTTCCATACCACTAAGTCAACCGCCCCAAAAAGGCTGTGGCCAAAGAATCCCCCCGACTCCAGTCTGCAGAACTTTTGGGGTTTGCTGGGAACTTATCACTGCAACTTTAACCAAACATATCGCCGAAAATCTCCCACCATTCCGGGAAAGCCACCGTGTGCCTCTGCAGCCGCGCGTCACAGGCATCTCCTCTCCTCGCCTGGCAGAGCCCTTCCGTGGAACACTGCGGAAAAGCGTTTAGCCGACCCACGGGAAGGCTGGGGTCGGGTTTGGGTTTGGGTTTGGGTTGGGCTTGGTTTGGTTTGGTTTTTCCTAGTCGGTTTGGCTTCAAAGCGTTTACACCGCCATGTTCAAAAGGACCTCTGAGACTGGCCTGGCGTGCCAGATTTCAGCCGGATTCGTGCATGTGTTGGACACCTTGCGGCAACCTTGGCTCCAAAACAAACCGGGCCTCGCCCTTGCCACCTTGCCATCTCGCCCTCCCCCTTTCTTTTCCTGTGTCTCCCTCTCTCCCTCTCTCTCTTTCTCTCTGCCCGACTGGGCTCAGTGAAACTCAGCTGCCGCATTTCTTCCAACCCAACCCCCCCCTTCTGAGTTTCCAACTCCTCCCCAACTACCCCCCCCCTCCAACCACCCCCAACCACCCCCACCACCCCCCCTCCCCGCCACCGGGCCCCACCTGCAACTCCAGCTGCTCCTGGAGACCCTTGACGCTGGCGCTCAGCTCCGCCAAGCGCCACTCTGTCATCGGCCTCGCCAGCGCCCAGCGCCGCTCCGGCCGCTCCGGGCGCGGAACGTAGAAACCCCACCAGCGGTGAAGTCTCATAGCATGGGAAGCGCCAACCTTCCCCCCCATTTTGTTTTAGAAGAAGAAAACAAGTAAATGGCCTTTCTGTTTCCCCACGAGAACCAGGCACTTGCAAAGGGCACCCTCCGCAAATGACAAACCCCAAACCGGTGAAAGCGGCGTGGATGCTTCTGGCTGCTTCTTCGGAGGGCACCCCCTTTTTTGTAGGTCGGCTTAAGGGGAGCAAAAGGTCCTAACAAACAACTGTTGACTACCAGTTCTTGGGGGAGTTCCTATTTTGACACATACTTATGCAATTTCTAGATTTTGGGGAGTAACTCATGTGCACTTTTGACATTTGGAAAGCAATGGCCAAGGGCGGCGTGACTCAGACAAATATACCCTGCCAACAAGCTCTAAACGCCCAAAAGACCTTTGCCTTCCAAACAGAATGCAATTCGAGGCACAGCTGACATTCCGTTGAATCTGCGGGTACTTGCGGGACGCCAAAGGCAAACTACCCTTTCGAACCCTTTGCAGGCCAGCAAATATGTTTTCGTGGCAGCACTCAAATCAAGAGAACCAAACACACACAGAAAAGAACATGCCGACACGGGCCCGGCAAGGGGTGAACAAATAATCATGTCAGCGTCCCCCCCCCTTCCCAATGATCCATTCAAAGGGTGCGAATACCACGGCAGAGGCTCAAAATTCGGCAGAGGCGCTGCTTCGACATGACTTGCGCCACCTTGTCTTCCTGAGATCGTGCGATAGGCGGCAAGCACTCAGCGTTCTTTGATCTCCACCTGGCCCCATACTGTGGATGGTTGCGAAATGCGTTCGCGATATTTTTTGAAGCCGCGGTTGAAACCACAACGTTCGTTGGTGTTTACAGGGAGCCATCATTCCGGGGTTTCTGAGCGGTGCTGCAAACCGGATTTTGCAACCATCCACAGTTGCCTCAACCATTTTGTGGCCTGGTGCAAGAAGCTGCATCCAAGGCTCTAGGGAAGTAACGAACACCTGGGCACGCTCTGTCCCCCGCCTTGCTTCTCACTGACTGCCCCTTGGCAAACTGAAAACAAGGGTTGCGCCAGGAAGGGGTTGGAGAACTTGGGGGCACGTCCCCCCGTGCCATCCCCCCAAACCAACAGTGAGCTCGTTTTAAGTTTCAGCTCAGCTCGCCAGAAAATCGACAGAACACCTCGGCCAGCCAGCCGGGCCTCCAGCACCCTGTCGCTCTGGCTCTGCAGTCGCAGCAGCTGGCGCGAGAGGCGCTCGTCCAACTCCTCCGTGCGCCGAAAAACGGGGGGCAAAAAGCTATGGAGGGAGCAATGGTCAAAGCTCCTTACATGGCCTATGGCCATGGCTCCCTTGGCCGATCACAGGGAGCACCCGCCGAAATTGTTGGCAGGCATGAATCCCCAGGGAAATGATGCATTCAAATCATTCCCATGCAATGGGAACCCACAGCTCTTGGTTGATGAATAACTTGGGAACCGCTCTTGTTATTGAGAATCCTTACTACCATGTGGACACCATGGCACAGAAAGGGGCCCTTCCAAATAGTTGTCAGAAAAATCTGCAACACCCCGACCGCAACCCCAAAAGTCCGCCGACCCAAAGGCCACCAAATGGCCTTCTTTGACATCCCAGTTCGCATATACTTTATGCGCGCCCCTGAAACACCTTCGACAATCACCGCCTGGTTTAAACATGCTTCCTAAATCACGGCAACCTCTTGATGCCTCTTGAGTTCCAAACAGAACAGGAACCCAGGTCTTGTCCCAACACGTGTTGCAACCAACCCGCTTTCAACGCCAGGTCACCACCACCTCCTTCCGCACCAGCGCCAGCCATGTGGCAGCATCCGACCAATCCCTTGGCAGCGACTGGCACGCCGCGCGCAATGGCGGACCCCCAAGCTCATCTTGGGGCTCATGAACCAGAAGGTACTACTGAGCTCCGAACCAAAGTTTGGGGTTGGAAGCACAAAGAACCAGCGGCGTTCAAACTCCCCGCGGAACAAGATAGGCGGCTCTCCACTTCTTCTTGGTTCGCACGGGAAGGAGAAAAAAAAAAAAGGAGGCAAACTACCACGTTGGGCCCGTCGTCATTGTTCGGAGGCATCCCTTTTCTGCTGCTCTTTGAGGGGAGGCCAAAAGGAAGACCCCCATTTCCCTTTTTTTTTTGGGGGGGGGGAAGGCGGGGCCCCCCCAAACAAGCCACGCCCTGCCCAGAACTGGACGTGTCGCTCTCGCCCAGGCGCTCGGAGTGTCCATCCGCCAGGCGCTGGCTGACTGCCAGCGCCTCCGCGCTCTGCTGCACGGAGCGGTGCACCTGGACCTCGCGGAGCCGTGATGCCGTGATGGGCGGTTTGGAGGGCTGGATGTGGATGTTCCAACCTGACAGGTGTGTACTGGTGGGGTTTGGAGGGTGAGGGAATGACAGACTGGTTGCAGGTCATTGCCTTCCAGGTTTGGATTCCCAAGCTGCAAGAGGGAATGAGACTTGGAATGACCTGGTTTATGGTCCCCTGAAAGGAAACCATAAAGCGATGGTTTATAGGGGTCATTCCATTTCTCATTCCCTGCTGAGCACAAGCAAGTGTTGAGCACCGGAGAAACAAACAGGCCTTCGCGCAAGCGACACACTTCTCGGTTGGTTAGTCGGAAAGCGTGCAAAAAGCTTCATCAGGTTTAGATTGATCAGCGTTCCTGGTGGCTTCTCCCAGAATACTTTCATCCAAAGCGTGCGCAGTGCAACCTGGGCGACTTTCCGCCCTTTCAGAATTAGAATCCTGTACCATCAAGCCAGAGTGACGGTTTGGCGAGGGTTATGTAAATTTCAACTGGGGGTCTTTGGTGGACGTCCTGAGCTCACGTGGATTTGGTGAGCACTTCCCCCCCAAAATCCATTGCTTCACAAAGAAACGCTACTGAACTCCCCCCCTCCAATGCCAGTGGCAACAGGTGTTCATTACAAGCGTTGATAAGACCTCGCCCAGGCGTTGAGTGCGTTCTCGAGGGGCCTGCGCCTTTGTTTTGCAGCCCTGCCTTCACCGGATACGGAACGGGACATGCGAGGCTTACGTGATCTTGATAGTAGGTCGGCCAAGCACACCCTCTCGAAAGCGTGCAATGGGCATGTGCAAAAACAGGGGACACCTAAAACTGGGACCCTGTTTCTATTTAGCCTCTTATTGAAACAACGAAAGGGAGACAGTTCCCTGCACCCACAGCGAAGAAACCAAGTCAGCCCTCAAAGAACCAACGGGCATGTGTCAAAAGAGGGGACCAAAAACACTAGTTTTCCTTTGGTTTCTGTGCCACCCAATGGGTCCCAACACGGGTGGCCTCACCAAGCACACGGCCCGCACCATCCCATGGCCTGCATCTCCCACTTCTGGCGCTCCGGGGATTGCGCGATGAGATCCGCGGCCGTGGGGCCTCGAATTACCCATCGGAAGGTGGATGCTCTGCCCCTGCCACTACAAAGCAAACGCCTCGATTTGTCACCCGCAATGTTGGTGAGTATGGTTGGCTATGCTTGGTTTACTTGCAACTTGCAACATGTGAAGGGCATCGTCCTTTTTGAAAAACAAACTCCTTGGCTATGTTTCTGACAACCAGCCAGCCTCTGCTTGCTAGTTCAAGAGGCAGGGTCTCTACATCTCTGAGTTGGAATCACACCAACCTGAACCGGTGGTTTCGTTTCCGGGAATGGTTGTGTTCCCCAGGCGCTTGATGCGCTACTGGAAACCAAAAGTTAAAACCAAAGGGAGAAAACACGCATTTTGTGGGCCACATAGAAAGAGACACGCGAGAAACTTTTGCAATGCGATTATGCGCTCGAATCGGCCCTCCAAATCAGCGCCCGGCTGGACGGAGATGAGGCAGAGCGGCCACGACCTGGGCAAATCTTCGTGGAAGTCAAACAAGCTAAATCTTGATGAATTGGTTTTCGAGGTCTACATTTACATGTTCCGATACCCGTACTCCATGTCTCTGCAGATCTGCCTGGTGGGTGCTGAACCTTTTTGAAACGCCACGCATTTCTAACGCGCCTGCCCGGTTCCGCCGCTTCACTTCAAGGGCCCGGCCTGAACTACAAGGCCGACGAAGCAACCAACTCGAAACAGGCCCACATCCGCAGAGGGGGCGGCGTGGGATGCAACTGGAATGAAATGATTGGAGTCCTCTTGTTTCATTCTCCCTGACAAGACACAGCCGGGACCAGTCCGGGGGTCCGGGGATCAGGGAGTCACAGTGTAGCTTCGGATTCCTGGTTACCGAAATTGGGGTAGCGGAAAAGACGCCTTTTGCCTATCACATGGGGCAGTTGACACCTGGAAGGAAACACAAGCACCGCGCCGCTGACGTTGGCTGCAGACTGACTGCTGAGGGCCGGCGGCAGCAGGCGGAGGCCTGGCTAATCCGGCCTTGCCGCGCTAGGTCGCCCAAAGAGGCGCATGCCTAGGCTTTGCCTTCCGACTGACGGTTGCCGCCGCCGACCCCTCGCATCGTCTGCACGCCCAGCGTCTTTCAGCGTCTTTGGTGCATCATCACCGCCCGCGCGACCATTGGAGGGAACGCTCAAAAGACTGTAGCTATGCAGCACCCCGGCTGCATTGCCAGCATCGCCGGCGCTTTCGGAAGCCACTGTGTTTCGCGCATCGCCGGCATCCCTTGCATCGCCCGTGTTTGGGGCCAGCCTTCCCAAGACATTCCTGATGACGCGCGCGCGCGCGCCGCACACACACGCACTTGCGCAACGCGCGGCCCGCACGCACGCACGCAACCAACCAACGAACCAACCAACCAACCAACCAACCAACCAACCATTCATCCATCCGTCCGTCCGTCCGTCCGTCCGTCCGTGCGTCCGTCCCCATCCATCCGTCCGCACGTCCGCACGTCCGTCCACCATCCACCCATCCACCCATCCACCCACCCACCCACCCATCCACCCACCCATCCACCCACCATCCATCCAGCCATCCACCGTCCATGTTGGGAGTTCCTGGAATTCTGAGGTGCCAGGGTTGCCCCCAACTAGTCAACCTCTGCTTTTTTCTATGCGGGTGTTCCCTTCAAGTGATGAACCCCCACTAAAGCCAGCGACATGCCCCTATCAATCAACCAGGGAATTATTCATCCCGACTCCCAGCACCTTATAGACTCGCAACCCCGGAAGCTCAGAAGGGCTCTCCTGGTTCCACGGCCCCGGCCACGCTCATGCGCGCTGCCCATGGCGACGAATCGGATTCGGCTCCAAATCCGAGCGTCCCAATGAGGAATTCGAAAACTGTCTAGGGAGTGTGTCTCCCTTTCTTCCTCTCCCAGGTTGATTCATCATCCCTTGATGGTTTCAGGGCTGTTCAAGTTCTTCTGGCCTTTTTTCTGCTGTTCTCAAAGCATCACCCAGTGGCAGTCAGTTACAGGACCTTCAGGAGGAAAAAGGATACCCGGGCCGTCACATTGCACCCGAGCTGTTTTGTCTCAGCGCCAGGCTCATGGCTAAAGGACGCAGCAAGCAAGCATCCCACAAATGTCAAGCGCACCCTCCGAACAAATCACGCATGATTCAAAGGACGTGATTCCTAGTGGCATTCTGATGCCCAGCACCCACCCAAAAAACACACACACACAAAAAAAAAAAAAAACGGAATGCACGACTTGCTACATTGTTCTCCATGCATACCAGTAGCATCAAGTTTCGAAGCTCAAAACTCCGCACCTGCCTGACTCCTTGCGGTCACGCGCCTGAAACTGAAACCAGAGGCTGCCTGACATCCACGAAGAAACACGTTCAGCCCTTGGTGGCCTTCAGTGAAGGACACAAATTAGCAAATAGATAAATAGACCTTGCCAGCATGAGTTTCGTGAAACAAAGGATTTGGGAGACATCTCGGGTATGCACACCTCAAGCGAGCATTCTTACCAAACAGTTGTTTTGCTGGCTTTCGCCTAGCCTGAGTCAGCACAAAGTCCACAAGTTCAACCATTCAGCCGAAAAGCAGTGAGAACGAGGGGCCGCACACTCCACAGCTTCAGCTTCTTTCCCACAACCCAATTTTCATAGCTCGTTTCAGAATACGAATCAAGTCCTGTAATTTCTGGGTACTGAATGTCTAAGCTTTCCCGAGAACCTTCTCTTGCTGTTGAAGCAGTTCTGTGACGCACCGTTCTCTGACAAAAGCCACGTCGCAGCCGCGAAAAGGAAGAATGCGATGCGGTATTTACTCGGCGCTCGGGGCAGTGTTCAGTTTCAACCACATCCAAGCAGGAATTCGAGCCTGACAGTGCCGCAGAAACGAATCGTTTGTGGAGGACAGACAATGTGGCCAGCAACAAGACCGTTTGTCGTTTTTCGGTACGCACTTTCTAACGGTGTCATTGTGGGGAGCTACGCTTAGACTTCATAACATCAACAAAACTCCGTCCACTTCTGTCGCTGAACGTCATTTGAATCAGTTGTCACTGCGCTGCATCACATGTAGCTCAAGCTCCGGACGCGGTCTCACGCGCAAAGAGCAATGCTTTATGACGCTTAAGTGCTGCCTATGTCTGCAACATGTTGTGAATCCGGACACTGAACGCATGCGAGCCGTTGAGACCCCCGCCCGTTCTGCCGTGATACAAGCCAAAGGAAGCCTTTTTGTCACAAAGATTGAAAACCGAGAGCTAGCGGCCAAAGTGGCCAAAGTGGCCACAAGGCTGGCAGCATTTTTCTCGGAAGAAGCTGGGTTGGGTGCGCAGTGTCTGGCAGAAGTTGCCGGGGGGGGGGTGGGCACCCCATGACAAGACCTCCTTCGGGAAATGTTCCAAACGTGCGGTAGGTGCGCAGTTGCTTTCGCTCGACAATGACGGTGAGGTTGATAAAAAAGCTGAAGCATCCCGAAGCAGTAAAATACTCTGTTGAGGTGACTTGAGCAACAGGTCAATTGTGTCACATTCAGGTTTCACTCGCACCGGTCCTGAGAAGGGAGGGAGGCAGGAGGGGAGGGGAGGGGAGGGGAGGGGAGGTGAGGGGGGAGGGGACGCGACGGGAGGGGAGTGGGAGGGGAGGGGAGGGGAGGCATCCAGGAGAACCACGATGAGGAACAACAACACGAGCATCATAAAGCACACAGAGCAAGAGGACTACGACAACCACAGCAGCCCACTCCACAACAAATAGCAGAACACAATCTTACACATCCACGATACAGAAACTGGTGTCCAATTTGCGTTCAAGGCAACGGACGCCAAGACAACTACAAGAAACAACAATCACGACAACCCGTCATTCAAGTAGACGTCGCCTGCGTCAAATCACAACAAGACCCAAAGACCATACCAGTACTGACGGCAGTTGATGTTACTACACAACTGTGTATGGCAGTAATGGTCCCGGGCAAACCATCAATGATGGACTACATGGCCAACAACCTACAAGCATTCATCTTTGAGTGCGGAAGAACACAAGGCATACTACAAAGCGACAACGAAGACACACTCAACGCACTTCTAAAAGCTACAGCAGCAAAAGTCGGCTCAATCCTACAGCAGTAACAGTCAAGGAAGTGTTGAGCGACTACACCGAACACTCCTCGGACAGGTACGCGTCGTCAAAGCGCAGGTTGGAAGCAACTACAGCATGACGATGTCCACAAAGCTCTGTCTACTACCTTGGATAGTACGACATGCAGCATGGACGGCAAATCGCTACGTCATCCACTCAGACGGCTACACAAGCTTTGAACGCCGCTGGCGAAGAAACTACGAGCGAGCAATTTGCGAATTTGGCGAGACACTACTTTACCTTCCACCACAACACAAGAAACTTCCAAAAGCAGACCTACGGATGCAGAAATGCATCTGGCTCGGAAAAAAGTTTCCGACACCGGAGAAAACTACGTCGCAACGGAATCAGGCGTACAAAAGGTACGAACAGTACGGAGACTACAACCGGACTTCAAATACGACCTCGCACTGTTGAACAAAGTTTCCGGCACACCATGGGCACCACGACGGAACACCTACAACCCATCGTTCGCAACACCGTTGGATACGCAACTACAACCGTCAGAGAAAAGAAGGTCCACGCAAGATTTCGGACAACAGACGAACGCGACGGACGACATCGTTGCGGAACCCGCAACAAAACAACAACGCACTATACACCACCTCCACAACTTCCGTCTACATCGACGTCAAGTTCACGACCACTACCGGATAGTCCTATGGCTACTTCACCAACCGGACGACAACATCCACCACTACCAGCACCACCTCGACAAACACTAAGACGTTTAACTCCGGAAGAAGTAATGCAACCAACCAAAGCACAGAAGACCTCGAAGGACACTACAATCAGATCAACGGAGCAAGCAACCAAAGAACCACAACCACTACGACAGAAAATCAACGCAGTGACACTTCCCAACGGAACATCCATCACTCCCTACACAAACGACGACACCTCAGAAGACCAACCCATAATCTTCGACAACGAAGGTTATGACGAAACACAACTACTGGAAGGAATGAAACACGAGTCAAACCAAATGAAACTACACGACGTCTACGACGAAGTAGATGCGTCTGCCGTCGATGACAACATCCTAAAAGAATCGATACCTACAAGATGGGTGCACAGAAAGAAAGGACCAGGAGTACAAAGCCGAATCGTCGCAAAAGGCTACACGGAGAAGATCGAGGACGAAGACTCCGTCTACGCCTCTACAATTTTCACGACACTCCGGACACTTCTCACACTACAAATGTCACGACCCAACTGGATCGCGCGACTGGGTGACGTCTCTACAGCATTTCTACACGCACCCATCGCAAAAGACCACGACGGTGAACAACGTGACGTCTACCTTTGGCCACCTAAAGAAATTTGTCCACAACAGACACAATCTGGCGACTAAAGAAAGCCATGTATGGACTACGCAGTTCACCAAAAGCATGGCAGGACTACCTGGCTGAAGTGTTACAAAAGCTCAGCTTTGTAAGACTAAAGTCAGAACCTAACGTCTGCACCAATGCGACTCGCGACTGCTACATCATGGTCTACGTGGACGATCTACTGGTACTTGGAGACAAGACTGCGGTCGACTCCACGTTCGAGGCCGTCCAGAAGCAGGTCTACTCAAGCACATCGGCTACCTCGAACCTGGCAAACCACAACAATTTCTTGGAAGAAACATCGACCACTTCGGCAACTACTGCAACCTTGGACTAAAGGACTCCTACATCGACAACATGATCGAGGAGTCTGGAATGACCAACTGCAACACTGTGACCACTCCAGGAATCGCCCACTACAAACCAACAATAGAGGATGAAGCACTTCTTGACCACGAACAACACAAAAGGTACAGAAGGATTGTTGGCAAACTTCAATGGTTAGCATACACACGACCAGACATCGCATACTCTACAAAAGAACTGGCACGAGACCTCGCAGCACCTACAGAACTTTCACAAAAGAGAGTCAAACATTTACTACACTACTTGCACGGCGCCAAGCACTACAAATTCACCATAATAACCAACAACAACACTCAGAGCAAACACCAACAACATCCTGGATCTCGACGTTCATGTCGATGCCGACTGGGCAGGATGCCCTACTACCAGGAAATCAACTTCAGGTTTCAACATCATCTTTTTAGGAACAACAGTCGCGTTTGGCAGCAGAACACACGCTACAATAGCACTCAGCTCAGCAGAGTCTGAACTCTACGCCATTTGCATAGGAGTTAATGAGGGACTACACCTCAGAAACTTCCTACTTGAAACCAACATTTGCAGCAGGCTAAACCTACGCATCCATACAGACTCCACAGCAGGCAAAAGCATTGCTACACGACAAGGCACTAGCAAACGAGCAAAGCACATCGACCTCAAACTTCTCTACACGCAAGACCTCATCAAACACGACATCATCAGAATCCTCAAGATCAACACACTTCACAACAGCGCAGATTTGTTTACCAAATACATCAGCAAAGAAACACTACACAGGCTCATCCAGAGCATTCGGATACGCATTTAGCACTACGAACGACCAGCGCAACAGTTTCACAACAACAACAACAACAACAACAACAACAACAACAACAACAACAACAACAACAACAACAACAACAACAACAACAACAACAACAACAACAACAACAACAACAACAACAACAACAACAACAACAACAACAACAACAACAACAACAACAACAACAACAACAACAACAACAACAACAACAACAACAACAACAACAACAACAACAACAACAACAACAACAACAACAACAACAACAACAACAACAACAACAACAACAACAACAACAACAACAACAACAACAACGACTTTGGACATTTCTTGTATGTAAGTAGCTACATGTAACGCGACACCTTTGGTACGTAAGTAACAGTAACTACATGTATTTCCACTTGCACTTTTGGCGGCTGAGTCAACACTACAGTTGTTTGTTTTACATGTCTGCATGCGCCGCCTGCCTGATAGCTACTACTCAGGCTCATTTTGTTTTGCCCCGTTTCACTACATTTTGCATTCCACTGCAGCCATGGCCGCTCCATCTACTGCAAATGCTACGATGGGAGATGCGACTACGCCTGACACGGAGGTGGCGGTCACTACAGGCTCCAGTGACCAAGGAACTCCACCCCCTCAGACCTACAACGAGTCCAACTACCGCTTCAATCACTCCACGCCTGGCAAACACGGCTTACTACAACCCGGCAACTGCCATGGATAAACTACACTTCACGGAGTACCAGACAACCACTACTCACTGCCTGACAGCACACCCTACACTCAGTTTTTCACTGCACTTACACTGAAAAATAGCAACTACTCTCACAACAACAAGCAACTCCACTTTCACAACTGGGCACACACGACCCATTCACTGCATCCCTGGAGACCTCCGGATGCCCCACTACAATTCCACACTGCTCAGCGTTTCACTACCTGAAGCAGCCAACGTCCACTACTACCACACGACTTCACTCCACACTACGACGGGCAACAATACCAACTACGTCACAACAACTACTCCTGAGGTACCTCACTTCAGGACAATTTCTCCACTTCACCAGAGACTACATTTCCTACATGATGTCAGTACAACAGAACTACTACCTCCCAACTACACAACATCCATAGACCATCTACAAGGTGGACTACGACATGACTACTTTCACCGACAACTACAGCCTGAGGAATAACTACATTTGGAACTATCACATGCCACTACTTCTACCGGAACTACTCCACTACCTCTACAACCGCGACCAACTCCACGACTTTCAACATAATGCCATTACTACCATCCTTTGCAAAAGCATCCAGTACTATGGTTTTACACTACTCACCATGACCAACCTTACCCAACACCACAAAGCACTACTACATCGTTTCCTTAGGGACTACGACTAACATATGTCGTGCTCTGAGATAGACGATGAGAGAGCTGGAGCATGAACAGCGCGAACTACGAGTGCAGGTTACTACCTTTTGCCACTACAGTAGAATTGATGAACAACAAAGGCTTTCATCACTACTGTCAATCCATGTTTTGCACTTCAGTTGAAAAGGCACTACAAAGACCTTTTAACTGAGGGGCCGTGGCAAACTACATGCTTCACTTCCTGCATTTGTGTTGCATGTATGTTCACTACTGCAGGCCTTGAGCTCACTACATCGCATGAGTCAAAAGGTTGGCAGCTGCAGACTACATTGGTGGACTGGTTGAACACTACAGCACTTGCACTTGTAAGTAAAAGTAGCAACCGATTTTAACAAGAGAGAGAGAGAGAGAGAGAGAGAGAGAGAGGAGCGCGCGCGGCCAGCGAGGATTTTCTTGCCTTCGCACAAATTCTCAGGCACAATCAATTTCTGGTATCAAAAAGTGCGTACCCACCACCATGCACAGAAGACTGCAGGGCGTTTCCAGGGTTTTGATCGAAGCTGACTTTCGCTGCTAACATAGCACACGTGGTCCCCGCAAAATGGCGAAACGGTGTTCCTTTTGGTTTCCTGCGAAACCCACAAAAAGGGGTCCCCCCCAAAAAAAACGACCCAAGTGTCCCACACAAACGGACCCTTTCCCTGTCCGCCACGTGAGCGGCGGACAGCGCTCTCTTTCTTCCTGCCCCGGAGCGTTCTGGCGTCCTGGCACTGGCGAGGGAAACGCTGGCCATGTTGGACAGAAATCAAGTGAACCACAACAGATGTAGCCATGCGTCCTCCATGGAAAAGTGTCGTTGAACTGCTTAACCCACCAAACAGGACTGCGCCGGATATTCACACCTAAGCTTTATCCAGGGCCACTTCAATCGCGCTCCTTGAGCAATCCTTTTTCCTTCTCTTCACATCAGGGTTGGGCCAAAGACCCATGCCAACACGGGTAAAGTTCAAAGCTCCAAGCCTTTTGTCACCGTCCCATCCTCCGGGGGCCATGGTCCAATGGTAGTTGAAAAAGAAGCGCAGGACCAACCCGGGTTCAAACCCAGCTCTCGTTTACGAGACTGGCGAGGCCAAGCTGGCGCCTTGGGCGCCCGGCCCTGGTCCCATGTTCCTGGTTACACGACATACATCTTGTCAAGCAATGGTATTGTGCTACGCTGCTGATCTGCTCATCGATGACTATGGTGGGTCTTTCAGGGCTTGTATTTATGGTGCGTACTTCGATGTTAATAGGGCATGGAATTTCTTGGGGGGGCTTGCCGCTTTTGCCACTTCCAGCAGGGCCGGCGGCCGGTGCATGCCGCTTCCATCTGAAATCCCGGCCCCGAGGTATCTCTCCGCACGGTTGGCATGGCGTTGCGACGCCGCGGCTGCCCGGTGGCCGCTCAAAGGCCGAACCCAAGGAAAACGGAGCCGGCTTGGATGGGGGAAACGAGTTCTCACAAGTTCGATGGACAGAAACCCCTGTGCAAATGATGTGCACAGGGCCCCCCTTTGCCAAGAAACACGGGGAACTGCATCCACCAAGCATCCTGTGGAAGGAAAAGCGCAAGGTTCCCAGCATGACCGTGAAAGTATCGCTGCCTTTGCCCGCAGCTTTATGGTGTGTCTTGCTTCAGCAAGCCGTGCGCAGGGGCGGCGGCGTCCGACCACTGACAGTCCCAAGAAATGGAAGAAAGACTTCTACCCCATCTGCTTCCACTGGTCCATGCGGCCCTTGCTGGAAACCCTGAATGAAACTCTCTGAAATGCACTCGAGGCTCCCTGCAGATCATACGCAGTCCGGGGCCCAGTGTGACATCAGGCAAAACATGCAACCCAGCAAAACTCCTTTGTTGGGTGCCAGGACTCTTGTTTGGAAAAAGGGCATGGGCATCATCTTGAACAGCTACTGACTTCCATGGACTGTTCAAACGCACTTCTCCAAGTGGAACACAGTGCTCCTCGAAATGATCTGCATTCGGCCCCTTTGGGGTGGAGTCGAGCTCCCTAAGGGAGGATCCGAGGAAAGGCGGGCCGGCACAAACTTCGCTCAAGCCCGCATGGCGGCCTCGGGATGGGAAAGCAGCGCAGATTTTGGACTGCGCTGATTGTGGCTTAAGCCTCGAAGTCAGATGGGAGTCTCAAAATCGTGTGCATGGTTACGACATCCACTTTGCACCACCGTTCACAACAAACTAACGGTGTGGTTCCAATGGTTTCTTTTAGTGCTGCGACTTGGATTTTGCAACCAGTCCCTAAACATGGATCGGATACTTCAGATGCCCTTTAGGTCCAACATTTTAAGAAACCTCTAAATGGCCATGGGTCAAAATCCCGTACCCCCAACTAAAATGTGTGGTGCACCTACCCCAAAATGGTACCATTGGTTTTTGACAACCACGGCCACATGTCTACTTGGGATGCCTGAGAATAGCCACCAGCCACGGCCATTGCCCACCTTCCCTGCTGCCTAGCTGCTCACAAAGACTCCTTAGACCAGAGGCGAAACGTCGAAAACGAGTCTGGCCAACCCAAGGGCCACATCCCCCCCTCAGCGGTGAGTAGAAAACTGGCCCCATCTGGGCTCTGCTAAAGGTCCAACTTTGGTGGTATTAGTCGAAACTACTACTAAACCAACCAAAGACAACTAAACACCTAAGAAAGCGGATGGCTGGGAAACACACCGGAAACACCGCCATTCCTGAACAGCCCCAGACAACTTCGGCCTGGGAGTTTTGAGGGTTTTGGGCACGATGCCGCCGAAAGCGCCTACGGCCCAAACGCCTACGGGCAGCTTACTGAGCCCCCGCCGACATTCTGAGGCTCAACCTGGGTAACCCTAAGGTTCGGCTCCCTGAAGCTTGTTCCTGTGGCAAGGCAGCTAGAGCAGCTTGCTTTTCGAGTGACATGGACGGCGCTACCCTAAGCATGGCCGCCAGCAAAATCCGCTGGATGTTCAGTTCAACTCAATCCGGAACTTTGCCGCTCCAAATGCAAACCGGCAAAAGGGTCGGTTCGCCCGCCTCCCCCGAGAGGGCTGGGTCCCCTGAGAAGCGCCGATGCTTGGAATGGAGAAACCCATAAATTCTGCCTTTTGCAGGGGAAGCCAAAACAAATTCAGCCGAAAACCCTTTATTTGCCGAGTCACCCCCTGGAAAAAATGAGAAAATATGTCCAACAGTGAAATCGTACAGGGGGAAAATGAAAAACATACATGCGTTCAAACCCACATAGAAGAACCCCTAAACCACCAGTAAGTTCCAACTTGTGGAGGGGCCACCCGACAAAATCTGCCGCTGCCATAAAACCCCTCTGGTTTTGTGGAGGCTCCGCCTGAATTTTCCTCCGCGGCGCTCTGAAGACCTTGTCCTCCATCTCTGACAAAGGCAGCGACACGCCGTCAGGCAGCCGCTTCTCCAGAGCCCGGCGCAGGCATCCTTCGTGCGGCCCGCAAGCCAACCCGCCCCCCTCAACCCCCCAACCCACTCCTTTCGCTTCCGAGCGAGAGGATCGGTGAGAGAAAGGAACCGAACTGCTATGAAGCACAAGAATGGCCCAAACCCGAAAAGTTCAAAGTCCGTGAACTCAGGCAGCGAGTCATTTTCATTTTACTCATTAAATAAGTAAAGCAAGGCAAAAAGTTGGCCGGAAAACGGGAACTAGTGGCAGGTCGATGCATAGATTTGGCTCACTCGGAGTCTAGTGCGCGTGAAGAACAGCGGCCAGACAAGTGACAAAGCTCCAAGGAGCCCTGGGTCTTCGAGCTGGGCTACAGGCGATTTCAGGGAGCAATCAACGCACCAAGCGGTGCAAGACATGAATCTTCAGCCCACGGCAAAAGGGTGATGGGGGAAGAGCCTTCAAGATTGATCCACGGAATGCTGGCCAGACCGAGGCAGCTTGGCATTCTACACTTCGTGATCACTGCAGCAAATGGCACTTGCATTGTGGGACTCACTCGCCCCGTTGCCAAAGCAAGCTGACCAGGGTGAAAGTAGAACACAGCCATTCGATTCAGGAGCGTCCATTGGCAGGTGTTGGTGTTGGTTCTAGCCGAGGCTGGGGCACAACTCTCCAATGGCCAGCAGCGCTCCCCGACCCTGCTTAGTCAATCCTGCGGGGTTCTCATTGCAAGAAAGAACCCCCAGTAAACCCTTTCCCCCGGAAAAGAGTGGGAGGTGCATTCATCTCGACATGTCTGCCCACTGCCGGCCCTGCGACAAGATCAAACGAGCCGAGCTGCTGAGATCGGAGACATCCGTGCAGGTCTCGAGCACGTTCACCAGCTCCTGCACGTTTCGGGCGTCCCGAAACAGCTGCCGTTGGTTAGATTCACGGATAGACTTGGGTGCCAAAAGCGCGCGGAGTTGTCATAGATGAGGGATCCTCGGAACCGAGGGAGAAGCCTTTCCATGCCGGCGAGGGCCAGCAAACCGACATGCCGACATGCCGAAATGCCGACATGCCGAAATGCCGACGTAGAAAACAGATCTCCAAAAGGAAGGCTCTCCGCGAACCGCCGATTTGGCCATGGGTCAAAATCCCGTACCCCCAGTGAACATCCAATTCCCCACAAAAATAGGTTCTAAAATGGGTGGTGCACCTACCCCAAAATGGGTTCCCATTGGTTTTGACAACCACGGCCATTTCTTTGTTTCGAACCTCCGCGCCGTTTTCCCTCACCCCCGAGCTCCGAGACTGCAATGAGGCCATCCGGCGGGCCATCGGGCTGCTTCGGCGACAAAGCGTAGCCTACTCCTGGCGCCGCTTCAGTGCAGACAGGTTTCGAGCAAGGGCAAGCTCCACAACCTCACGGAAAGCCGAACGAAGGCTTCCACAGCCTAAGAAATGACCAGCCTGAGAAAAGACCCGGAAGTTCTTCCCTCACAGAAAGGCTCGATTTAGAGAAAGCTCCGCAGCCTAAGCTTGATACAAACTTCAAGAAAGCCTCCTGACAAAAATCCATGCGTGAAAGCTAGCCCGATGCCAGCAGAAGGAAGGCTGCACAATCTGAGGAAAGGCTGCACCGGAGAGAAAGCTCCACAACCTCAAAATAGGCTCCACATCTTAAAGAAAGCTCCGTACTTGCTACGGCTGCGTGTTTGTTTGGCATGTTGCCGTTTGCGCTTAGGAAGGAAGTGTGACCGTGCGAACAAACTCCCCTCAGAAAAAGCACAAAGGAATGAGAGAAAAAGCGCAGAACGTCGGGAGAAAGCTCGACCGACGGAATGCATATCACGCCTGGAAAGGACAAATGTCGGGCTCGCTGGCTCGACATCTCTGTGGTGTACCCTGGGCGGCCAGGTCGCGGCTTCTTGTACGTTCCCGAGCCCAACAACTGCTCGTGAATCGACTGGTGTCCCCATCTCAGCTCCGGTCGCAAAATCTCACTTTCGCCACACCGATGCCAAGGAAATTCCTTTCCAAAAATTGGTTTGTCTTTTTTCGGATGCCTCCCCCATGTTGGATCCTGGCTGTTCAATCGAAGTCTCCATGTGTTTTTGCTTCCCCTGCCCCTTTTGCTCAAGCCACGGGTGGCGAAGCCCTCATCAAGGACCTTAAAGAAGGTGATCAGGTTGTCCTAGGCGTCTGCCGCGCCGCGCGGCCGCGCGGCAATGCCAGAGGGAGGCATCGGCAACGGCGGGGAGAGAAAAGGAGTCCGAGTGCTGCTCAAGACCCCATCCCTTTTTTCTGCACCCTTAGGGAAGCAAACTGAAGGTTGCCAGACAGTGGGATCAACTTGTTTAGGAGCTTTGCCCCTTGCCCACCCCGATGTGTGGATGGCAAGGAGTTCTGGAGACTCAGCGGGGAAGGGGAGTTCTCAGGCAAGCCGTGACCTCTGCGTGGCGATCCCTGAAGCTCATCGCATCTGGTCTCCGAAATCAGCCCAGGTTTCAACCCAAGGGCACACGAAGGTAGGTGGATGCTGGAAAAATATGGCAAGTAAGAAAAACCCGTGACTTTTCTGCAATTTATCTAAGTGTTCTGGCTGGATGTGGTTGGCTCACATATATGCAATGGCCCCTGCTTTGAGCAAAACAAACAACTTGTCAGTCAGGATGCCCTGCCCCATCGCGATTTTGCCGCATGGCGACGCGATGCAAATTGGAAGGCTTCTTCTGAGCTGTGGATTCTTCAACCTGAGACCCCCAAGTGCCTACATGACAAAAATAGAGTGGCATCCCCAACAGTTCAACAGCTCAAAGGGAACCCTCCGGAATCTTTTTCTGAAAGCCGCCCCAAACCACCTCGAAAGAGCCTTTCTGGGCCGATCGACCCCATAGCTTTCAGCTGCAGGGAAAAATCCTCAGGGACATTATGGGACATTGAACATTGTGCCTTCCCTGGCACGTGTCGAAACAACCCCCCCCCCCAAAAAAAAGACATAGGCGCACCTGGCAGAACGTTCCGAAGGCACCACAAACAAACCCCATAATTAAATCCATTCAAAAAAAAGAAGAAGAGATGCGGACCCTTGGGCCTCGCAAAACCCCGGGCCCGCACCGCACCCGCCGCGCACCCGCCGCGCACCGCCGCGCGCCGCCAAGCACCGCACGTCGGGCGATGCTTGGTGGGACTCGGGACTCCGCGCCTCGTCCAGGAAGGGCGGCAGCGCCATGAGCTGGAAGAAGACCGGCACGTAGCCGGGAAGCAGAAACCTCGCCACGGGCGCCCACTGAGAACTCAGCCGCCGGCTGAAGAACCCCAGCTTTTGGGAATGACACGTGAACCAAACAACAACAAAAAACACGGGGGTGTTAAGAAAAACGCATCGGGGGTCTCTCAGTTTTTGGGTATGACTATGCACATGAACCAAACAGGGTCCTTAACCAAAAGTGAGAAGGTCGGCTTTGGGCGAGTGAGCTTCTTGCTTGCTGAAGATGTCCTATTTCGTCCCATGGCCTTCAAATGGAAGTGCTCATGACTGAACAGGTTGGTTTGGTGATTCCGACAACAGTGCCGGCTGGGATATATGGGAATGAACCTCACCGCCCCCGACAAGAACCAACTGCTGCTTGTTTTAAAGCTACAATGTCTTGGGGTGGTTTTCTGGAAACTAAACGTAAAACTGCCATTGGGTGGAATGAACCTCAAGTTCCCAAGGAACAAAACGCAGGGAATGTGCGTTTGCTCCCGTGGTGGACTTCCGACTCCGTGTGCAGTGGTCAAACTCCTCATGCTTCGCTGGTCGTGACCCTCTCAATTCCTCCGGCCCCCAAGTGGCATCTCCAGCATTGAGGCTGTTGAAACATGACACACCCCTTGTGCAAGCGGCCTCCTCGAGAGTTACCACCATGTCGAAACCAATTTGCACGCCGAAAGCCAACTGCAGACCGGGGGCAGCAAGACCATGAAGAGGATGACGAAGAACGCGGCCGTGGGCAGCGTCCACTCGAAGTGCCTCAGATCCACGCAAGAAGCAAATTGAACCCCGACCACACCAAACACCAAACAACAACACACACCCCCACACTTGTTGTTCGAACCCCCCCAAACAACAACTCCCCCCCGATGCTGCCAGATGACCGGCCGGGCCTGTGGCTGAACCGGTCACCCCAAACAAGGGCGACTGCCCAGCGGGAGCACGAAAAATACGAAAACACAAAAGGATCCTAAAAAAACCTATCAGGCCTGGAGCGAGGGAGCCTCAAAAGCAGTAGGCCATCCCCAAGAGCTAGTTGAGTCACCTAGTCACACATGTATCGTCGGGCCAGGGCTAGGTGAGTGGACACCCTAGCACGTGCAGCACCAAAATTGCCGATCATCAATATCAAACTTGCCCAGTAAGGGAAGTTGTCAGCGCACCAGCAAACACCTGTCTCTCCAAGAGAGGGCACGCCATGGGGCAAAAACGGCCCCTAAGTATTGTTGTCCAAACCAACGCACCCAAACGCGTTGAAATAATGCCAGAATCATACGGGTTCGACGCCGTCGTACGCCAGCATCGCCTGAATAATGAGAGCATCTGAGGGTGCCAAAAAACCTCCTGCGCAGAGCAGACGCGCCAAGAAGAAACTATCCAAGCACCAAAAACTGCGGTGAAATCCAATGCATCCGAAAGCAATTGAAATAAAACCAGAAACATGCGGGAACGACCCCGTCGTACGCCAGCATTGCCACAAGAACGAGAGGAGCCGAAGGTGCAAAAAACCTTGATACATATGCGGGCAACCCCGTCCTACGCCAGCATTATTGCATTGCATTGCACCGCAATGCATTGCGGCTCGTTACACGCACATGCACAGACACACCCGCACAAAGGAACGCGCATACACAAACAAACAATCAGACTGGCAGGCATGCAGGCAAACAGACAAACAGACATGCTCACTGTGTCACATTGCAGTACACCGAATGCCAAACAAGCAAAAGTACTAAGAAAAGCAACAAACATACATACAACACAGCACAGCGCAACACAACAACACAATACCACAAACAAATGAACATACAAGCAAACCCAAAAAACAAAAACAAACAAACAAAACATGCAAGCAAGCAAGCAAGCAAGCAAGCAAGCAAGCAAGCAAGCAAGCAAACATACAGGCAAGCAAGCAAACACGCAAATGAACAAGCGTGCGCGTTTAAAAACACCAACATGGACAAGAAGTCCAAGCTGCTGCTGCCAATCCTTGAAGGCCACAATGGTGCGGGCAAAGGTGTATGAGATCAAGAACCTCGGACTGTACAATGAACTTGGCACCGCAACGCCTGCGCTCCAGAGGAAAAGCCAGACAAGCGCTTGGTGCTCTCAAACCACGAGCCACTTTTTTAGGGACGAACGAACAAAACAAAGAACTGAGAGTATTCATAGATACAGAAGATATAACAGTTCGTGTCCAGGCCGAACACATATTCTAGAAAAATATTCTATCTGGATATGAAATTGTACAATTCTACCTGCACAAGGTTGAAAACTTGCATGTTTAAACGAAACGGGAGAGAACTTGCCAACATTCTATTGGAGCATGCCTTCAAAACAAATATGATATTTCTGAGCATTTCATTGGAAGCTGCGTGTTCATCCTTTCCCGAGATGATTACTTTCTAAGTAGAATGTAGTAGAATTAAATAAGATGAATGTCTAGCTGAAATTATCGCTTCATTGGGGCTTATTTTGTTGGAACTCGATCAATCATACGAAGCGGTACTATCATATGAAGCGGAAGTTGTATTGCAGCCAACTCAAGTTAATCGAACCCAGCATTGTTGTGCAAGATACACTTTCAAAATAAAATCCGGGTGCCAAGCGACCGACCCTTTTCTGGGGAAAGAAGCGACCGACCCTTTCTGAGCAAAAAAGGTGCGGCCCAGCCAACATGGCCTTACCGAACCGAATCTGCAAGAACACTGTTCACACGCAAGAGCGCTCAAGTCTGATAAGTTATGTGGGTAGCGCATCAAGGGCATGCCCATTCAGGGGTCAAGGAAGTCGCGTTTCAACTCCCCCCTCTGGTTTCACTGGATTGCGGACCGCGTGCATCAAGTCATCGCGTTGCCACTTATTCAGTGAACAATTTGTGGGTAGACATGCCATCTGCTAATCAGCCATGTAGACTGTCGCCTTGCAATGCCGCTTGCCGAGAAGCAAGGCTCATCCTGTGCGTTTTACTAACACGCCTTCGCTTCGGAATCTAGCCGGCCTGGGCTTTGCATTACCGCTGACATATCTCGATGACATACCGAGCGAACGGGTCTACCGAACACAAGTCCTGCCAGCCAAGCCTCCCTTTTTCCGCAAAGCGTTCCCAAATGGCGTTGGCAATGGCATCAAAAAAAAAGAAAAGACGGCGGTATCATAAGCGAAGGATCCCCCCTCATTGCGATTTGTTTCGGTTGCACATGCCAATGATGCATGCCGGAGATCGATTGGCAGTCATTGAAGGGAGTTCTTCGGAAGTTCAGCACATGGCTTGGCCGAAATGGCTTGATTCGAACCTAATCCACAAAAGCACTGGTCAGATCAGGTCTCGCAAGTTATGTCGGTATTGCATCAAGGCTACGTGCCCATGATTTGGTGGTCAAGGAATTTTGGTTGTACCCGTGGTTCAATTACGATTTCAACTTTCAAGAGGGTGTCCTTTGCCAGGATGATTGTTGAATTCTCTAATTAGGATCCAGATAGAATTCAATCAACAAGGGAAGAATTCTAGCAGAATGACCAGTTTCAAAGCCAAAAAAAAAGAAGAAAGATGTCCTTTTCAAAGAGGCTTTAATTTAATTGGAAATGGATTTACGTTCCCATGTCGGCCGCCTGATTTGACGTAGTTCCTAGCCTAGGCGCACCACTCAAATAACAAACTACCTGAATCACATGGCTTTGCCCATTTGTCGTATTCACACTGTTCGTAACTAGGACAAAAAGACAATCAAATCAAGTTCTGCCTGATCCCTGCTTCACAAAAAGAGTACAAACTTCTCAACACTCTGCCTTTTTGCTTTGCAACCCTCAATCTCAACACTAACATTCCACCTGCTTGCCCGGCACTTTATATCGGGGACCAATTGCATTTTCTGGCACCCCCTTCTCCCCGGGCTGATTTGTTCTACAGCGGCAGGAAGATCTGGAGGAAGCGATTGATGAACTTCTCGAAGGAATACTTGCCGCGGCCCTGCAAGGTCGCGGACAGCGTATTTGCTGGCGCCTCAGCCACGGGGGCGAGTCAAGCCCTTCAACCACCATCCTTTGGGTGTCCATTTCAAGCGTGCCGAAACGAGTCTGGTTGTTTCAGCATGGTTCAAGCCAAACGTTCACGGATGACTTTTTTTTGGTAGTCAGGCTGCGGCAAGGCTCATGGAGCATGTGGATGCGGCTCTTTTGAGGGTCCCCTCCCCCCTTTTCGAGGCTTCAAGCGGACCCCGGCAAAAATCTGCACCGCCGCTGCTCGCCGCCGCGAACGCTGCCAAAGGCACGTCTGCGGCATAGTCGTAGGAGTCGTAGGCGTGCGTGGGATCTTCCGAAGCTGGCCGCGGCCGGAGTTCGAGCTCCGACCCGAGCCGAGCATGCGGCCGCAAAACACATGAAGCACCCACATCTTGCTGGTGCGATAGGGACTGAGTCCCGGAATTGAAACCATAAAACGGATGGCTTGTAGATTCATAGGGGTCATCCCATTTCTCATTCCCTGCTGAACACATGGCCAAAAACAACAGTTGCACACAAACGCAACCATACGGAAGCATACACATGGCAACGCTCTTGCGCACCCGCCTCCAACATCTATACTGCGGCCGCTGACTGATCTACGCGGGGCAGGATTGCGCTCGATCCGCTCCAGCCATTTCTGGCTGTGCCTGCTGATGGCACGATGCCGCGACCTGGCTTTCCACCCCTCAATGGGCTTCGTGGATTTCCACAGGCACGAGATGGGTGGGGCCTGTCAACTGGAAACAGGGACTGAAACCTGCAAGCAGGCCCCTAGTAGTTTAACTTTGACCCATAATATTGACCCATACCCAAATGGGCATCAAGACGAAAAGTTCCCTGTTGAAATCATGGCCGCATGGCGGTTAAACCATAGTTTACCTTGCATCACTAGGGCGGGCTTTGTCACTCGACACATCCTGGCATGCCGCGCCTGGTCAAGAGCACCATAAGCAACCTGAGCACGTCTGCAATCTCAAGCACAAAGCCCAACTTCCCATCAAACCAAGCACCATCCCATGGATTGCCTCAGTCACAGTTCCGTCATCACCCCCCTTCCCACCCAACCCAAAGCCACACCACCCACCAAGAAGGAAAGAAAAAAGCGAAGCAGCCGGGCGACACAATCAGCAGAGCCAGGCAGACAAAGACCGGCATCACGCCCAAGATGCTGACCCGCAACAAGCGGCACATCATTGCCAGGACCTCGGATCTCACCCCAGCGTGCGCGCCAAAGATGCGGTCTGGGTTCAAGTGGGTTTGAAACCCAGAAATCAGAAAGCCACTCAAAGTGGGTGATGTCCTCTTTGCTTCCTTTTTGTCCCTCCAAAAAGAGACAGCCGTGGAGGAATGCGGAAAACAGCCCCAAGTGCAGCCACGAGAGCCGCAAAGAGGATGCTGATGGTGATCCAAGTGCCTGGCGGTGGGAAAGCGCTACGTAGCTCCGGATGTGTCAAGAGACATGTTAAGACAGACACACAGCGTGTCACACACCACACAACCAGACACACGCACAGACAAGAAGAAAAAGAAGAAGAAGAAAGAAGCAACAACATGTCTCGCGTGCTTGTCTGCCGAGCAGCCTGCGTGCAGCTCGATGGAATCCTTCATCCCTCGCTGCACATTGGCAGCCTCACATCCCCGCAAGGAATCGTTCGCAAGGTGACTCGGCGGCATGGAATTCGTGAAGTGGCAGAGAACCACAGCAAATCGGAAGCTCGCAATGATCTCCATAGGCAGAAATGAAAGGGGCTCCCATGAATCAGGCCAAGTTGCAGAAATCAAAAACGCTGCAAGTGGCACAGCAGGTTTAAAAGCGTGGGGCGCTGCCGAGCGGCCAAGTATGAGCTGAAGGCAAAAGTTTCCTCGAGTTGCTTTTTCACCACTGCAGCTGTCTTGTCCTCCTCCTCCTCCGTCTCCTGAATCCGCCCACCGTTTCCCCCATGAGCCACAAAAAAAGAAGAAGAAAAAAAACCTGACCGAAACCCGTGCAAGGCTTTGGCTTGCCCAAGGCTAGACTCCTCCGTGCCATAGAAGCCCAACCTCTGCTTCAGCTCTTGGTAGAGGTCAGGCCCTTGGAATCGAAACGTTCGACCCATGGACGCCGAAGGCTTAAGGGCCCAGCTGGTAGCCCTCCAATGGAGGACTTTGGTGAGGAGGTACTCCCGCAAGCACACCTGAGACCAAAAATCACCACAGACGCCGTCGCCTACGATTCGCCAGAATCCCCACCGATTGCCAAATTGTGACCAAAACCTCGCCCATGGCCTCCGACCACAAGGAAGTTGTTTAAACAATCATGTTGTTGATCGGGGATGTCCCCATTTAGTGGGGATGCTCACTGTTGAAGGGAACACCCCCCTCGGACGGGTTCTACTTAGATCCGGAGTCAAATTAGTGGCGTACAGGGTTCCTCAGTTCCCTTTTTGGAACCTACAGAAGTGGCCCCTTCAACGGAAAAAAAACAACTTTGGAAGGGAAAATCTTGCGCCCGAAACCGGCCCAACCCATTGCGCTCTTC